GCTGTTTGATGCTTTTGAAGTTTATTAAAGTGACCCTTTGAGAAACACAGAAATTCAAGCAGATTTTCCCTTCCCTTCTTCACACTGTATTATTTTTGAAAACAACACAATTCATTTCACCTTGTCTGCAAAATTTTCCCCAGAGTAAATCCCATATCTGGATCTCTTTGAGCTTCTGTGGCCTCCAGGTGTACAATCACCACTTGAGGGAGTCTCACCTGGGAAGGATTCTTAGTTATTGTGTATGTACCTGTTTCCTCTACTACATTAAAGTCTTCCGAATAATAGAATCCAGACCTCCAGTACCCACAGTGCCTAGCAAGTATAATTCATACAATAGTCGCAGGAAATATTCATTTGATATTATGAGATTTGGCCAAATGAAGGAAGTTTGAGCTCTATAATTCAGGTAAGTTTGTGATATAAATTCACTTTAAAATGATACTATGAAAGCATGTTTCCTGAAGTATAAATATAATACATGTAATTCAGCAAAAGGTAAGATATTGGTGGCACTTAATTCAATTTTATTTTAAAATCAGATTTATGCTAATGTATGGGCTATCTTAACCTTTTTCTTTCATTCTGCTTTCGTTTTGCAGATAGAATTTATCTATTTTTGTATGATGTATCTAATAAAATTACATCATTATCACAACAAATCTTACTCAAAATAACCAGCTAACAAATTATATGTGTTTGCATTTTTTCTTTATTTTTCTTATCTCTTTTCACTTTAACACCTAGATATTTATAAATGCTTTTAGGAAAATTTAAAAGCATGTTTAATGCTTAGAAAAGGAAAATTTGGCAATGCTATTTTTGTACTCTCCTCTCGTTCCAGCTATAGGGAACTTAGATTTTAGTATGCAGCACCAAAAGCTCCTAGATGATCAATCTTGCCCTTGAGGATCAAAGTGTTCCTTTGTTGGGTCAACTGTTCAACTTAGAAGTGAAAGAGGACTAAAAAATCTAATAGAACAAATTCAGTCCAAGATTGTAGTACGGACAGTGTCGAGTTTGTCTTCATTTATGCCAGCAATTAACCTACCCTGGTAAATATATTTGTTCTGCTTCTCTCCTATGTTTCCTATTATAAAAAGTTTATTATTGGTTGTCTTTACAAGGAAAAACCTCCACACCCTCTTTTCAGTGGGCTGGAGGAGCCAACGAGTATGCCCATTCAGTAAGAAAGACTGTATCCATCTCGGAAAATTGGCAATGCAAATTTCACTTATTTTGTTCTGAGAAAATTTTGAGAAATGAATTTTGAGCATTTTGAAAATTTTGAGAAATGAATTTTGAGCATTTCCTGTTGGCAATGAAAACAGGTAGGTGAGAATAGATAACATTCTAAGCACTTATATCATTTTTGCAGATTTTGTGCAATTTCTTCTTTTCTTAGATGCAGCCCCGTTAACTTGACCCCAATTCTGGGAAAATGACTCCAGTAGTCTTGATTTAAATAGCGACCTGTACAATCTCCTTCCCTGCAGTAAAATCTGAGTAGACATTTTGGGCATGAGCTACATCTCCGAACTTACACCAAGTAAATTAAAAAACAATGAGAGAAACCACAATTATTTATCAAAAATGGGAGCTTCTGAAAAAGAACCCAGAAAGGGAGCTGACCTGGCCTTGGGTGTGTGATGCTAGAAATGATATCTTGAGTCTTATGAAGTCTGAGTTGAATACTGTAAAAAAAAAAATTGTCATCAGATTATTCTTAAATGTGAAAATAGAAAAATTGAGGAGAAAATAAATGTGCATCAATTGTGCCAAAGTGTTGAACTCTCAATGAATTCAAATATATTTGAAGTTCAAATATGATATTTTTTCATATGCATAGACTAAAAATCATGGCAAGGTCCTAAAAAAATCAAATCTATAAGAAAAATTCTGAGGTTAATCAGAAGTTATAATACTATTTCATAGTTCTGTATAATATCTAACACCGTATTTCATAATACTAATATAAAACATTTGTATACTATAAATGATTAATAGCTACACTAACACAAAGTATATTTATATATTCAAAATGAGAAACACATCACATTTTAGAAATAAGAATGAAGCCTGCAAAGATGTGATTTTAAGCCTGAAACTTTCAATTATAATTTTTTACTGTACAACTAGAAATATTCTAAGCAATTAACAAAATAAAAATGTGACCACACATTATTATTCACAATATGTGTCTCTCACTTGTAACACTGTGTGTAGCGTGTAGAAAGCTAGAAAATTCCAACTCTTTCTCACACTCATTGAATCTAAAATAGACAAGATGGTATAAAATTCCAGAGGTATTCTCTCTGAATTAATTTCTATAACCCAACTGAATAAGGCCTTTAAGATATGTAAATCCTAAGTGCTTCAGAAATAACAAATCATTTCATCATGGAAGATTATTGGCTTAAAGAAATAAATATGAAGATTTTACATCTTTATATTATTCACTGTTAACGAAGCTACTGAAGATATTTCACTCACTGCACCCAACCTCAGGTTAATGCTGCCAAAATACCTGTACTTTTATATATTTCTAGCAGGAAAATTCCTGGAAAATGATTTCTTTTTCTATAGAGGAGCAAATTTGCTAAATTTGAACTGATAAATCTAAAACTTCTCCCAAGGCAGCATAATCTCACGTAAGTGTGTGTGTGTCTCGTGTGTGCGTATGTGTGTGTGTGTATTAGGAGAAATGCAGGTGAACGAAGAATAACATTGGCTTGGTGCCGTAGTTGATGCAGTATCATAATATAATCATTGTCATTAGACAAATTTGGAAACTGAGACTCAAAAGAGGTGACAAGAGGGTTGATTGACAGGTAGAAAGCTCACCCATTCATCAAAACAGTTGACCTATGATCTCAACATTCAAGATGTTTAGAAATACTGGTATTTAAAAATATACTTAGGGTTTGTTTTATTCAAATATAATCAAACGACATACATGGATTCATCTGCTTTGAAAGATTACTTTATTCCTGACAATTCCCAAAAAGAGGGGCACATCTCTCCATGTGGGGCCACTTGTGAAGTACCAAGGTTGGTCAGGAGACAGGAGAAGTAAGAGCAACAGCAAGGGCCAGAGTCTTCACTTTTTGTGGGAAAGACTGGACAAGACAGGGTAGACAAGTTGAACAAGTTTAAGATCAGATAATATGGATAATTTTAATAGGCTATGGCTGGAGGGCTGGGCCCTAGTCTAGTACCTGACCCTGGAGAGATTTGGAAAGAGAGAATATTGAATTGGTGTATGAGAGGTTTATAAAGGAGGTGGTTAAGGGTATGGGCTCTGGATTGGTTGATTTGCATATGAAAGATATGTTCTTTTATAAGTTTTTGCTCTCACTAGGAATTAGTTCATCCTGGGAAAAGCAATTCCTCCCTGGTGTCTGCAAGGTTTTAGGTTGTTCAAAACATATCTTTATATTTAAAATTAAAAATATGATTCATACAATAGGATAACATTCATTTTTCTATATTCATTGGCATTATGTGGAAATAGATAATACACTCAATCACATGCAATAACACATTTGTTTGTAAAGAATCAACTTAAATGTATGTGTTAAATATGATTGATACACAAATCCGTATATTAGTCCTTCAGAAAAGATGCAGTATAAGGTAGTGGTAAATAATGAAGATGAAGTCAGGGAGAACTGGATTCGAGTCACAGCTGCTCCTGTAGCTAAATTACTTCATTTGGACCTGTTTCCACATTTTTACATTGGTGTTGACAATAGCTACTGCAGAGTTCACATGTGATTCAACCAGACAATATTTGGAAGATCCTAACCTAATGTCTGAATTCTTGATGATGATGATGATTGCTTAGCTCAATGAAAACTCACAATTATTCTTACCAGGATTTTAAATTCTTTTTGCACCACTAACCAGACTGCCTATATGAAAACACAGAAAACTTGGGTAGTTATTCAGATGATTCCAATCCCCTCTTATTTTCATCTTAATCATCTGAAATGTTTAAATGAAATATTTGAGTCAGGTCTAGACAGTTGGGGCAATTTTTCCTACCGGAGAATTGCACTATCAATTAATTGTACTATCTATCATGTATGACCTGTGGAAAATCTGAGGAAACTCACGTTCATGCACAGCCAATCCTGGGATCACCAATTATAAAGGACAACCCCACTCACCTCACAGTGCACCAAGTGGGTTTGGGGAAAAGTAGGATTTATTCCTCTCATCTCATAAAAATAGTCTACTTGGTTCTTTATCATCACACTTTTAGATTTTTGAAAGTTCTCCTGTATGTGATTTTTTTTTAAGATCTTTTTCTTTTGGGCCTCCCTGGTGGCCTTGGGGTTATGTCTCAGCATTATCACCACCGTGGTTTGAGTACAATCCCCCACCAGGGAGCTGACCCACATATGTCTCTGGTGAATCATCTCACCCCCCCCACCTCTGACCTACACCCCAGTTCTTCTATGCATAAATAAATGATTTTTAAAAATTTTTTTATTTTATCTTCACCAACTTCCAAGAGATTATTTGTTATTTATCCAGCACAGTATATCTTCTAGAAAAAGCTCTTTTGCAAGAAGAAGAGGTAAACAAAGAGAAAATAAAGTTGAGAAAGCTCAAGTGGAGTGTTTTTGCTGCATTCAACCTTCAACAGTTAGCTAATTTCTCAAATTTACATGAAGACTTATTATCATCTTGACTGCAATCATGTAGAAAATGAATGGAGTATAGAGTACATGAGGATAATTTAATAAAATTAGTTTTCTTTTCTTATGAAATCTTTGAAGAAAGGAATCATAGACAGAGACTTGCCTTGTATTCACCAGGTCACGAGGCATGTCAGCTTGGTGATGTTCCTTTGGCAAGTCCTTAATTAGAAATTCCTCGAGAACTGCTCCCAGTAGGTGCTTCCAAAGACAGAAAGACAAAATAATTCAGCAGGGAAACCCTTACTAAGGCTAGAATATCCAGGCACAGTTCTGCAAAAGTGCAGAGCTGTCATGATGAGGTGCTGGATTTTGAATGAAAGCCTCTCCGTCATATTGGCAGTAAGTATCACATTTGTTATTCAACTTTCAATACATATATATTGAATAGTCTTTGATTTTGAGGCTAACTTGGATAGGAATGCTAAATAGCTGAAAGCATGACTCTGGTTAAAAGACTAAAACTTGTTAGAAAACATTCAGTAGATATATTTAATTTACCCTTACAGAATCATGTAAAGTTGTTTTCCGATTGAGTTCATTTTTAATTATTTTTAAAGTCAAGTAGTTTGTTTTTGCATAATGTATGAATGTTTCTCCAAATCAAATGAAGTCTTTGAATTAGACTATGAAATTGAAATTTTTTTTCTAGGGTACTTTCTGGGTTGTTTTTTTAAAGATTTCCTCCTTCTTGACATCATTGACTTCAAACATTATAGAGAGCAATGTTGATGAGGAAGGTTTTGAACTTTTCATTAAATTCCTTAACTTTTTATATTAACTTTTTAAAGTTAATAATTTCTTACTACTATAATCAATGCTAAAAACCAATCTATGAGAAATAAGGACATGGAGTAATTCTGATTAATAGGAAGCTGTTCATTTCACTTTAAAAGAAGAACCCCAAGTGATTTTGAATAGAGGAAAAGGTGGATGACAGTACTGATTGTCTGTCTTTTCATTCTGCTCTAGCTCTCATGGCTGGGAGTGAATTTATATCTGTTTATTGACACATTCTATTGGTATGAAGAGGAAGAGTCGTTCCTTTACACACGAGTTCTTCTGGGTGTAAGTTGAGTTGGCAACCATGCACACATTATCATTTCAAAAAGCAAAGATACATTCTATTTCCCCCCATTTCCTTATTGTTACTGTAGCTCTTTCTTGTGTCTTTCTATGGACAGTCCACACTGGCTTGGGCTCGAGCATCTGCTGTGTGCCTGAACTTCAACTGCATGCTGATCCTACTACCAGTCAGCAGAAACCTCATTTCATTCATTAGAGGGACAAGTATCGTAAGTAATAAATTACTTAAAATAATCCAGTTGTTATGATCTATGAATATAAGTGCCATTGAAAACAGAGATCTACTTTAACTGTGATTACCAATATTTCTGTTCAAATTGAGATTTGTTTCTTGATGAGAGAGAACACAATGGCTAAAACAAAAATTAGAAATCAGTGCCTCTGATTTGATTTTTTTTCCTTTTGCTATTGACTCCCTACATGACCCTGGACTCATTGTTCAACCTTTCCCTGATATAGTTGCTCCATCTGAAAAGTAGGGCTAATAAAATTGACCTGTCTCATGAAGATAGATATATAACAGCTTGAACTATTAACGCTTCTGATTGAAAGGAGACAAGCAGCTAAACCAAATGCCAATTAAGAAACATCTCTCTAGTTCTCAGCCCCAGAAAACAGTCACCATATACAGCTTTTACTATATAGATGTTTGTCCCTCTGGAACATAATGGGACTTGTTATATTGATTCCACTCTATTGGTATTTAGCTCTTTCTTACTGAATAGACTATTTCACCAAACTCTTATAAGAAATAACTTTTATTATAATAAAGTGAAAATCAAAATCAACAAGCAACTATAAAGCAAAGACATTCTGGAGGGGGTGGGGAGAAGGGAGTAGGATTAAAACAGGTGGGAAGGTCACAAGGACTATGGTGATGGTACACGGGAGAACTGGTGGTAAGAATTTTTCACAGGGACTATAACTGAGATGAGAAAGCATACATTGTAAAAAAAAATGAAGAACAATATAAAAAATATATAAAACTAAAGTTATTAAAAATAAAGGAATAACTTTTACAAGAAATTCAGTAAGTTTATATAAGTATTTAACTCTAGAAGAAAAGAGTGTATTATGTGATCATAACTATATGAATATTTAGGTATAGATGAATAAAGTACCTTTCTTTGTGCAATAAGGAATAATTTATAGATAATGCGTGGTTATCGGCAGGTTTTTTGTTCTTTAGTTTTAACTTACAGTCAGGGATCTACTAATTCAGTCACTTTTATTGAGTTGAAATCTCAGCAAGCCACTGGTAACTACTGGTTTGACCTGTTTAGCTAACTAATGACCTCTGATTTTTTGTGTCACATAGACATGCCTCCAGCAATTCAGAGGCAGAGCCTGGATCTCATTTCCTTAATTCTCACATTGTCATCACTACGAATTTTCCCTAAATGACTTCTTTTTGTTTCTCTAGTGTTGCAGAGGGTCCTGGAGGAGACAATTAGACAAAACCCTCAAATTCCACAAACTCGTTGCCTATGGGATAGCCATCAATACAGGTGAGTGCTTATTAACTACCTGATAGATTTTATAATATTTAACTTAATATTTTTCTTTAATCCACCCCACACCCCCGCTGACCTTTGGATTCAAGAAATAGTTGTCTTTCATCAGGCCACGTGAAAATTCTATGTAAATGAATTTAAAATTTTCTAATTTATACTTATGGTGACCAAACCCTCAATTTGTTAAGGAGTAGTTGATGAAATTTCATTTTCACCTGTCCATAGTTAAACTTGTTGATAATCCAATGATAAATATCTACTTGAAAATGAACAGTATTACACAATATAATTCACATGGGAACTAAAATTGACCGAGGCTCATCTCATTCAAGTCATAGGAAAATGACTACTGAGCAGTAACTTGGGAAGTAAAAGGACCAAAAAAAAGCACAATCTTTGAGCCAGACTCTGAACAGCATTGAGCTGGGGGCATAAAAGGATCTTGAGAAGATGTGAAGTTTTAAAGGCATATAAAGTGTTACTGTCATTTCTTGAAGTAGAAAACAAAACATTTCTTGAAGTAGAAAATTCTAAGGGAAGGTACTAGAAAGACTCATCCAAGGCCAAGCGTAAACCTTGGAAGAGAGACAAGGCCAGTAACCAGTAACCAATGTCCAGTGGGCAACAAAGACATTGGAGTAAAAAGCTATCTGAACAATAAGGAGTTATAATTCAGGCCTATTTCTCTCAAGCTAATTTAACTCTAAAATGTTTTCCTCATTTGTTTTTAAGCCTCTCATGCATAAAAAATAGCAGAGTGAAAGGAACACTCAAAACAAATGTGGATTTAATTAAGCAACAAGACATGACAGACGGTGCTCGAGTGCCAATTAACACAACTTTGGGTGTGCGGATACGTGTGGGGAGACTTCCTCCTCCGTTGTCTTCAATGCCAGATTAAACGAACCTGGAAGATGTTTGCAAAAGGTCTTTGTAGTTTGTTAAGAATCAAGGGTAAAAAGACGCCACATCCTAGAGAAAACCAGCTAAGGGATGGGGAGCAGAAGACAAAGGTAATTCATCTTTGTCTTCCGAGGCCTTGAGCAGCGCCAGGTACACACCAGTGCCAATAACTTTTGATGAATGAGTGAAGATGCAAAGGAATGAGGGCCCAGGGAAGAAGATTGCAGCTCAGAAATGGAGGTCTTTTCCAGACCCTGAAAATTTTCTCAAAATCCGAACAAGGGTCCCCTGAGAGTACGGAGATGCCCGTGTTGGGTGGCACCCTGGTGGAGCGCAGACTGCTCCTTGGAAAGCTCTTCAAAGAAAGAATTCAGGGACTCTCTAGGCTTCCTTAAGAGCCTCATTTCCTTCATTAAGGGAGAAACAAAAACACAGTAAACGTGCAGGAAGAATATTATCATTTTGCAAAAGCTTTAATGCAGAGGCGGACTCTAAAAGAATTATCAGCGAATCAGAGAAAAGGGACAATAGCAGCAACAACACAGAAAAACACAGAGCCAGAACACATCTGAAGAGGAAGCAGAGACTAAAGGAGAGTGTGTGCCAAGAGCCAGCTTTCCCCTTCAAGCTCAGGGTGTGTGTATTTCTCTATGTTTTCACATAGCAATAGCATAAACACATCAGTGATGCAGAGTGACTGTCTCCTGCGTGTGCCCTGATGGAATGTGGTCAGTCCCGTTGAGGAATGGAGTATAATTTAGTAGGGGTGACAGTTGACTAGTTCAGATGACGAGGTTACTTAAACCCCTGCTACTGATGGGTTATGAGATCTCAGCTAGCTCCCTATGCCTGTCTCTGCATAATTAAGAGAAAAGTCGTGCTCTGTCCAACTCCATGACACATGCACATGAGCTGTGAGTGGTGAACTGCTTAGAAATCTGCAGCCTGCAAGATCATTCACTTCTGTGATCAAAAAGCAGATCAAGTCCAAGTTTAGCATGATTGGCGGCTCTGCGCATGGAGCCCCTCCCACTACTCCAGTCTCATCTCTGGCCAACCCCTGGGCTTTTCTCCTCTGTATAGTCTGTGCCTTTGCCCTTACTCTCTTTGCCTGCAATATTCTTCTCTCCTTCATTGGATAAGATGGCACCGTATCCAGAATCTACGTGGTCAGCTTCCCCTTGAGCTGCCAGGTCCAGGCTGGTGCCCAGCTCACCTGCAGGTCACAGCCTCTTACCACAAATAAAATTCCTCAGACTCCGATGGCCTCCAGGGCTGACTGTGCCTTCTGCATCCAGGTTCCTTTGGCGCCTGGCATGCATTATAGGTGATCAAGCTTGAAGGGGACTAGGAGCTGACCAGCAGGCAAAAGCAAATGAAGGAAATCCTAGGAAAGTTACAAGACACTACAGTGCAGCGGTGTTTGGGGGAACAGGAGCAGTCTGGGGTGCAGGTAACAGAGAGCATGCAGGGAAGAGAATCAAAATGATGCCAGTCATCTAAGACAATCACTCCCTGTGCTGCTTCAACCAAGGAAAGCAGGATGCCCTTCCTCCCTTGCGCCTCACACATCCCTGGTGAGAATCAAGTATTCTCTCTGGTCTATTCCTCTTGAAACCCCCCTGCTTTGCCAGCCTCCTTCCCATCTACCCAGGCTCCCCCAGCAGGGTCAGGCTGCTTTTGAAAGCAAAATGCTCATCTCCCACTGCATGGCTGCCAGCCACCAGCCTCCATGCCGTTGTTCTCATTCCAGGCAAAGGCAGGAGGGTGGAGAGAAAGCGCTCCTTTCTCCCAAACCCTGACAAAGCAATTATTACATTTCACATTAACTAAGAAATGTGGCTGGCAACTGCGGCTTTAAGAAAAAGTGCTAAGCCCTGGTTTCATAGCTGTACCTTTGCTTTTCACATTTTGTCCTTCGGGTATATTCACTTGGGAGCAGCTGAAAATGTCCCCATGCTGATTTTATTAGCATCGCCCATTATGTTGCTTTTCAAATAGCCGACTGGCTTAATAGAGGTGTGTAACCTTGGAAGAAGTGCATCCACATCGAAGTGTGCATGCCAGCCTCTAATTTCTCATCCGTTCCCCTATAAGTTGAACCGCAGGCTTTAATTGGTCGAATCATTAAGGGCTGTAATTAGAGCCTGGTGGAAGGAGGCTGGGGAGGAGGTGGGAAGAGGCAAACAATGGTATCTATAATCAAGGGCATCACTGAAAATGCAGTGACAGGAACTCTTCTGGCTTCCTGCCTTCCTGCTTGCCTGCCCACGATAAGAGCGTTGGAACATTCCTCCACCACTCATAAATCATCCCCAGGGACCTATAACCACACTGGTATAAAAATCATAGTTTCACAGTCTCTCCATTCTTATTAACGTGGATCTTTCTGGACTCTGATTCACACTAGACCTTGAAGCCCCACCCACTCACTGATCCTGAGCTTCCTTCCTAGGGGCGGGTAAATAGTGATCCAAACAGCCCTCTCCAGCAAAGTCCCCACTGCATCTGCTGGGGCACAATTACCCATGTGCCACTCCTGACAGGCTGCTAAAATTAGTATATGAACCTCAATAAACATCCCAGGGGCAAGTGGAGAGGAGCAAGCTCAGAATAAGGTTAAAAAAAATACCTTATTCTTATTTTTTACCTCTCTGCAGAAATTGGACCACAAGTCTGAAGGTTCAGGCCTGGTTCTAGTTGCAGCCAAGATTTGCTCCTATTCGACAGGCTGCTTAATTAGCAGGTGTCTAACTCAAAACGACATTGCTGACAGGGAGGCTGAAAGACAGCAAGAACTGACCACACTCCCAAGATTCTCCCTCCATTATGCTTTCTTTCATCTCCTACGATAGAAAAAGGAAAGAAAGAAGGAAAAGAGACTTTCTCAGGGCAACTGGCTCTAATTGTAGCCTTTATGATTTTTTTGTTCCCTCTTCAATAAAAGCCCCTTATTTGAACTCAGAAGTTCATATACCAATTAAATGCACATTTGTAGTATGTCCAAGATTGCTGCTCTCTTTTCACTTAGCTGAGGAAATGACATTGTGGGACGATCCTGTCATAGCATCTTTTGTTCTGGCACTAAGTTTGGGTGGGTTCTCAAAAAAGGGGATCCTGGACTCCCCTGGGCTCAGCAGAAGCTGCACAGAGGCAGCAGGGAGAACCCCAGCTGCAGAGCTGATGGCTTAGATTTGCCACAAGGTATCAAAAGTTCCCTTAAGTCAGAGCTGATTCTTAAAAGATACTCAAATGTGAGTTTCATGTTGGAAATACTTTCACAATGGTCTGCAATCCCCTTTTAGATGGTGAATGTTCCTGGTTAAATTCAGACTGAGCATGGGAACCAGACAGCTGGAAGGGAGCTGGGGTGTCACACAGTTGAGTCAAATCCACCCACATTACAGATGAGAAAATGGGGCTGAAAGAAATTTAGTAACAGAGAGGTAACCTCTCCAGTATTCTTTCTGCTAAAATGAAATCTAATCACAAGATATGATCCTGATGACTAAGAGAGAAAGATGAAAATGCATCACTATTTAATACGTCCCTGAAGCAGTCATAAACCGTGTCTGAAGGAGAGGATAAAAAATATGATATCTAAAAGGTAACAAAATCGAGATTCCCCTTGGTTATCTATCAAGTACCAACATTTGGTAACTGAGGTACCTTTAGTTCCAAGCCAAGATAATAGTAAAATTAAATAAGAAGAAATAAAACATTTTGACAAAATGAATGCAAGTAGTTTTTCTCTGAATTCCTGAGATTAGATGCTACCTTTTTTATCTTCCACCTTGTGAAAAGAAAACAAAATGGATGCAGCTAAGCAAAGGAATGTGTAATACATGAAATTTATAAAGTACTATTAAAAAAATGGAAAAAAAATCATTTTCAACATATTCCCTCAGGAGCTACTACTTGAAAAGTATCTTGGTTTTCTTCTGCTGCTGCTGCGTTATTAGTTCTTCTGCTCTGTTATGAGACATCTGGCGATGAGAACATATAAATAGTTCAATATCTGCTCATTCAATAAATGTATTTAAATTTAGTTTAAACAATGTCAGATTCTCATGTGAAAATCAGTCTGGTAGAAAACAGATTGTGATCAGCAACTCATTACAGGAGAGAAGAATGTTCTAGAATATGGAATATAAAAGACACAGAATTTATCCTGTGTTCCCTTTCTGACAGTCACGTGTGGATGAGGTGATGGAGAATAAATTGCTTCATTTGGTTTGAAGCTCACTGTCTATTTCTGTAAAGTGGGACCAGCTCCACTCCCTGCCTGGTGTGCTTTGGTCTAGGGAGGAAGAATCTGAGAAATCTGGAAGCAAATGAGTAAATGGGAAAAGGTAGAATGTGAAAGGACCCTTGATACCACCTGCAGTGAGAGAGACCACCGCGATTCTGCTGAGTCATAGTCTTAAGAGGCGTTGGTCTCTAGATTAAAGACACCAGGTGAACCATTCAAAAAGCTTTAGCTAAGCCCATGGGAGAAATGAGTTTCCAGGAAAAAGTTTGGTATATAAACGTTAGTGATTAATGAAAAGAAACAATATAACTTAGGGTAAAAGATGAGGTCTTGGAGTCAGACAAACGGGTTCATCCCACCTTTGACACTTACTGACTACAGTCCCTTAACCTTTTGAGTACTTTTCTCTAATTATGGAAATAAAATTCACCCCTGAGGATCGGGATAATATGTTTAAAGCATTCATAACAGTGTTTGCAGTATAGGAAACATTCAGCATACGTTAGCTATGACAAGAATTACCTGTTCATTCAAAACTTTAATGTAATGGTCAGCTCTGGTCCCAAGGCTGTCCACCTGTGTCAATACAGATACTCTTTATCTGTTCTCTTTCTCCTTTTTCCTAATGAACTGTCCTTTAAAAAAAAAAAAGACAGGGGCCTCCCCGGTGGCACAGCAGTTGAGCGCTGGGTTGCGAAGCTGCCCGCAGCCTCTGCAGCGCCAGTTCGATCCCCGGCCACCGGGCAAGGGTCCCACATGGCGCGCAGACCTCTCCTGCCGCCCGCTGCTCCCCTCAGCTGTATTTCGTCAGTCTGCCTGTTCTGTTCCCCACTCTGTCTCTGGTGAATTCTCTCACCCTCCCGCGCTTCTGACTGTACCCAGTGCTTGTATAAATAAATAAATAAATCTTTAAAAAATAAATAAATATTTTTTTTTAAAAGCCAAAAACAAAACTTTAAGATAATTATCAGAAAACTGCAATTGGGAATACCAATGTTTATGTTCAATCCAGCAAGTAATTCACATTTTATGGATCGTGATGGAAATCATATAAGCTTTTGTAGCTTTCTGGATGCTGAGACTGAACAGGGCTGCCCCTTCTGAGATGTGGCCACATACACTGACAAATGAACATAAAGAGGAAACAAACTACCTCTTAGATGCTGCCCTCAATGAATCTGCAAATAGACGTTTATCATCATAGACTCAAAACACTAGAGCATTGCCTACTCAGGTGAGCCTCAATCAAAACCTATTGGATTTGATTTCTAACTTAAAGACCATAGAAAAATGTGCAAAAAAATATATGCATCCGTAGAAAAAGCACTTCCAGTAATGTTGCATCTACAGATGGGATTCCTAGCCCTTTATCCCTTTCTGTAATCTTGTTGTCACTCAGCATTGAGGTATATACTGTAAGCAATGTGCCAGGTGTCAAGGTTCTTGAGGAGTCAAAGTACATTGAGAAATGCAGGTATAAGTAAATACTCACAGCAATAGTGCCTGGGAAATGTTAGGATGACCGTATCATTTGTGTCTGTGGAATTGAAGAGTAGTTGATAGAAAGCATTTTGCCTTGGGGCTTAAAGCATGAGTAGAACTCTACAAGCAGAAAAGGGAATGACTGATAGAAGGAACTCATGTGCCAGAGAGAAGAGGCTCAACATTATAGAAGGTGGCATTTCTAAGTCAATCAGCTACCAGGAGCGCAGAACTCAGGATGACACCAATGCTGTTAAAAGTTTCTGCTGCCCCTTTTCCCCTCACTAGACGTGGACACAACTTGTAGTCTCTCAAGTAGCAGTGGCCTGGGCTACTTTCACTGTGGGTGCAGAAAAAAAAAGGATATCAACTGGGAAATGATCCATCCTCTGGGCAATGCATTCCGGTTTCTCACTGGAACCTGATCTCAATGGTGGAGATCCATGGAGCACCCAACAGGGCTTCCATTTGTAGGAGAGCATCAGATGTCTGGGTGTTTGGACTGCTCTTCCCCACAGAGTCACAAGTCAGGGGACAGTGGCGGCAGCACAGACTCCGAAGGTGACATAGTGCTGTGTCCTGGACAAGTTCTCTGCACTTAGAATTTAGACATCACCGATTCCCAGAATTAGAAAAAATGGGTTTTCTTCTTAAGACTATACAGAAAAATTTACTTCCATAAATGCTGGCATATTTCAATCCACTAGGAATAACCCCTGGAAATGTGTGTGTTTGTGTGTGTGTGTGTGTGTGTGTGTGTGTGAAGGTATATATCGTATATACTAGCATGTATAAAGGAAAAACAGAATACATAATTTTTGAAAGAGAACAAAAATGATGCCTTCCCTGGCATTATCCCACATGGCTGTACACGATGTACAAACATATTGGAGAATAATGTTTTCTGATTGCTCAAGAAAGAAAGTATATAGCCTATCTAATTATGTTGCAATATCATGATGCCTAGTTCACTTCCAGAATAATCATGTTTGTAATGAAACGATGGTGAATTTAGATTTTACCTTATGTCTTAATAGAATGTAAATGTATGGATATAGTAAATCATGCAATAGCCTGGGAAGTATTCAATCCACTCCATCCAAGACACCAGGAGAGATGCACAAATTAATCACTGTTCCTTGGAGATTAGAAGAACCAGGGCAGGGAAACTGGACCATAGAGACACTGCAGTCGTGAGTAATCTCAGAGGAAGAAATCCATGCGGCTCATGTCCCATGTCTCGTTGTATGCAGCTATTCACATCGTGGCACATTTATGCAACCTGGAGCGCTACCACGCCAGCCAGGCGGGGGAAGCAGGTGGACTTTCAGCTGCACTTTCCAAACTTGGAGATGCCCCGCATGAGACCTACCTGAACCCCATCCGGAGTGCAGGCGCAGTGAGTACTGTTTGCCTGCCACCTAGTTTCTCACCTGAAAAATTCCTTTCTCTTCCTATCCTTTTATTGGGAACACTGTATATCAAAGGCTTTTTTTTTTTTTTAATATTTATTTATTTATTTATACAAGCACTGGGTACAGTCAGAAGCGCGGGAGGGTGAGAGAATTCACCAGAGCCAGAGCGGGGAGCAGAGCAGGCAGAAGGACCGAAGCACACTGCTGAGGGGAGCAGCGGGCGGCAGGAGAGGTCTGCGCGCCATGTGGGACCCTCGTCTGGCAGCCGGGGATTGAACCAGCGCTGCAGAGGCTGCGGACAGCTTCGAAGCCCAGCGCTCAACCGCTGCGCCACCAGGGGAGGCCCTCAAAGGCTTTTAAGAAAGCTCCAGAGGGGGTTTTGCCAAATGTTAACATCAATTTCACCTTTTTCTAAAATGGTATATTTTAATGACATGAATGTTGCTAAGAGGTTATGCGCAAGAAAAACTGATACCACTTAATTAGTCTATAACAACAAATAATAAATACACCCCAACAGGAAATGCAGTAACCTGTTAAAATCCCTAATATTTTAAATTTTCAAAGCAGCTAATGATTAGAATTTTTTAGCGGATGTTACAATTATAAAAAAATGTGAAGTGTCATTAAAACCAGAGATTATAAATTGGATGTCTTCATTTTCAATTTGCAAATTGCTTTCCGCATCTCTTCTCCCATCTCCTATTTTGGCACGCGTGTGAATAACTGCTCTGCCAAATCAGATACCGGGCAAAGTGACTAATTTCATAATGAAGCCTGTATGGCTAGTGACATCATTAATGCTAATTACCTCTGTGAACGGTTGAAAAAAAAAAAGCCAAAAAATGTAACCAAGAAACCCACCTGTGGAGATAAAACAGTCCCCCCTAAATCCAACCCCTACCTCCTTCTTCCTACTTAATCTAAACCTTTGGCCATGGTATGCCACACTGTCATGCACATGCAGACTGTTCCCCAGGTTAAAATAGCTAGAACGCACAAGAAGAACCGTAAGGCAATCTTCACCAGAAATGGCAACCTCTTAGCTACCTTCCGGCCCATCTCTTTAAGGGATTATTTGGCCCGTGAAGGTGTTTTTGAAGAAGGAAATTCAAAGTCTCTTTCAGGGAAATTCATCCATGTCATGTCCGCTAGTGTCCTAATGTGATTTCCAATATCAGGCCATTGATCAAAAGCTACGTTTTCTTAGCTGATACAAAGAAAAACAAGTTGCACAGTTACAAGTCAAAACTACAGATGCCCTAAGCCTGGGAGGTGCCTTTGGGGTCACTCAGCGGAGCCACAGCATTTGTCTAGGTGTCCGCTGGGGTTCATGCTTTTTCCCCACAAATGCGCTACAAATGCCCACACACCCAAAAATGCATCTCAAACTTTTTGTAAAGCCAGTGTAGTAGAAAGTCTTTATTGTAAATACTTTCGAGGCAATTTAGCAAGATGATTCAGCTATTTCCAACAGTTATTTTAAAATTTTAGAAGCAATATACTATGAAGTACTAATTAAGTTCAGGAAACCCTTTAATTCTGAGTGTTTGGAGAAAGATGAGTATCAGTAACACAAAGTGTTCATTACAGAGTATTTGTGAAGAGATGCAAGGAGATTATTTTAGAGGTTACGTTGTAACTCAACCCAATCTCTCAGAAATGCTGCAGAAAAAGCAAAGTGGAGGCTTGCTCTAATAAGCAAAGAAGAATGATTCAAAATGAGTACATCGGATGATGTAAATGACTTTCTAAAGTGCCTGAGTACACTTGAAAAAAGAAATCTTTTAAGTGTTTTAGACTTATCCCTTTCTATTTTATAGCCACTGTTTGCTCTAGGAAGAAAAAATAAATACAAAGAAGTCCTGTCCAAATTACCTGGAGATCTCAGAGCACCCCAAATTAATGAGATTTTCTGACAAGAGATAGAGTTGAGTTTATTGCGCGTGGTTGTCTCCATGATAGTGACACCGTGTGTGAATCCTAATGACTTGGCAAGAATATGGGAAATTCACAATCAGAGCAAGATGCTTTGTGATTCATATTCTAAAATGCTCTTTAACTGTCCCCTGCGCTCGCAGGTCAGTATTCTGGCTTTTGGCACAGTCTGCCAGTTGAGAATAGCTGTATCTTTATTGATCACTTAGGATTTACAAAAAGCCTTAGTCCAAGCCTCCAGAGAGGGCATGAAAGAAATGCAAGTCATGGTCCTTCCAATTAAAAAGCAAGAGCAAGAAGAACCACCAGGGAACGGAGGAGGCAGCTATCTTATTAGCCAGACCCTGAAGGGAGCTCTCCCAAAAAGTGTGTTTTAATGTTAAAATGCAATTAAGCCTGTCAAGCCATCTTTTTATTTTAAAAACTAACAACTTGAAACTTGATTTACTGTGAGTTATTTCATCTTTAGATGCATTTTTATATATTGTCCTAATTTCAATTCAACATTATAACTTCGTCATCACAATTGATACAGGCAGATGAAATAAAAGTGTAACGAATGACATGGCATTGGATGACATCTGCCCAAAGCTAAGGTTTTCCATCTGAATGGGGAGCAGAAAAAGCCAGAGACCTCCCTTTGTGGATTGTACCAGGGCCATTTTTTTTTCAAGATTTTATTTATTAAAGATTGATTGATTGATTGATTGATACAAGCACTGGGTACAGTCAGAAGCACGGGAGGGTGAGAGAATTCACTAGAGCCAGAGCAGGCAGAAGGACGGAAGCACACTGCTGAGGGGAGCAGTGGGCGGCAGGAGAGGTCTGCGCGCCATGTGGGACCCTCCTCCAGTGGCCGGGGAGCAGCCAGGGATTGAACCGGTGCTGCACAGGCTGCGGGAAGCTTCGCAACCCAGCGCTCAACTGCTACACCACCGGGGAGTACCAGGGATGGCTCTCTGATTAGATGCCCAAGGGTTGATCCTAAATGGAAAACTAGCAGGAAGATGGAACGTTGGTGTGTTTGCCTCGTAGAACACCCCTGCTGCATTGCTGACCACCATCGCAGGCATCACCGGCCTGGTGACCACACTGGCCCTCATCCTGACCATGACCTCGTCCACCGAGTCCATCAGACAGGCCTCCTATGAGCTGTTCTGGTACACACACCATGTTTGCATCCTCTTCTTTATCAGTCTGGCTGTCCATGGGGTAGGGTAAGTACAGGCTGTGCTCAGTGTGGGAGATTTCACCTCTGTGAACCTCAAGATAATCTTAGAGAGTCCTTTGGATGGAGGAACATGACAGGCAGGGACTAGCAGACACCTGGAAGCTATGAAGATGCACCTTCACTGTGGTAAATACCTTTCAGTAACACTGAAAAGGTGCGACATAGGTGGTTTTATGTTTACTTTCCCTGCATAATTCTGTTGGGGTGTCTTGACATGCGTATGAGATTCAGGAATGTTAACGAATACTGGGAAATGAGACATCTGCCTTTCATTCAGAACCTATTCCCACCATCCAATGGACTTGGGATTAGTGGGGATATATACGTTTTGAACACCCCAATTCCAGTCCTCCTTGATCAAAACTACCCTCCAGGACAGCTGGTGTGGAGGAGGGGACAGTGTGGGGGGGGTTCAGTCTGACCAGGGCGGGCCTAGAGGAAGCTCTGATATGTGGCAGCATGACCATCTGCAAGCCCTTGAAATTCTCTGGACCTCAGTTTGCCCATCTCAACTAAAGAATTCCTTTCTGTTAAAACAGCCCATAAAATGTTCTGTATTCAGCACCTGCTTGGTGCTGTCAAGCACCTCCCAGGAAGTTAGAGCAATGCCTGCATCACATACTCAAATATACTGTGTTCAACTCTTCAAATATTATCAAAATGTTCTGGAACAATTCACCAATTAATGTCTATTAAGTAGTTCATACCATATTAGTTCATTCATAAAGTGATGCCTTTTTTTTTTCCATTTTACCATTTTCAGTGTACAGATACATGATTGGTTTGACCCTCAAGAGCAGCCATTCCAAAAGTTCTGGTACCCCATTTCATAAGAAGGAAGCATATGTTCAGAGGGTTGGGTGATTCACTTGAGGTGCCAGGAGGAACATAAGTCAGAGGCAGACCCAGAAGCCAGACTTCAGGCCGCCAAACCCTTTCTCTCCATCAGTCCTGGAGATCCTGTCTTCACTTTGTGAATTACACATCCCTCCAAGAATGTGGGGTGCTTTGAACTTCCTTCTTGGCTTGCATGAAACTCTTCCTGCTTGCCCCAACAGCAGAAAACGCCTCCCTGCCCCTCCTTCTTCACTGCTGAGTGCTGAGGCCTTGAAACCAGAGGCGGCTCCATTTCTGTCCCGACCTGGCAGAGCCCCAGGCCTCAAAGGCTGCTTGGCCTCCAGGTCATATGCCGCCATGGCCGTAGTCACCTGCTGGGGCCCCAAGGCAACTTTAGGGGACTTGCATGCTGGCAAGTCAGCTGCATCCTCAGCCTCCCTCCCACACTAGATGTGCCTTCCTTCTCAGCCCCCCACTTCTCAAAGGGGTGGGTGCACATTTCTGCCATTGTCTTGCCTGATGCAGAGCTCCCCCTCATCCCTCAACTTGCCTCATAATTGGACTTGGTGGAAGGAAGAATCACCTCTAGAAGAGTATTTTACCCTAAAAAGTTACCCGCAGCTTTGCTCATCCTTAGAAACCTCCAATGAGCACACCAGTGCTGCTGCCTGGCTGAAGGTTTTCAAGTCTCTTTTAGTTTTAAAATCTCTGCCATTGGCTCTGCTGTGTGACCCTTCACCCTGACTTTCTGTATTTTTTTTGGGGGGGCAGGTTGCAGTTCCAAAACATTCCACCTCAGAAACTGTCAGTCCTTCCTTTCTCTGCAGCTTCTTCTCCCAATGCTAGGTGCTCACCCCATAAGACATTTGAGGGCCTCTTCATGATCCACGTGTGTCTGAAAAGTACTCTTCACAGATGTCACACACACACACACACACACACCTGATCCTGCTCCCCCCACCCCCACATTCACACCCTGGTGCGCTATGGAAGCTCGAGGATTTCAATGGGCAGTGTTTCACTGGAGATATTTTTTAATATCCAAATAACATTTCCTAAGATGAAATTTGTTAGTCATTCTAACTTAGTTGAAAGGCTTATTTTGGGATAAGGGCCTCATTTAATCTTCTCAGCTTGAAGTATTCTACAGCTACTGTTTACAGCAAAAAGTAATTTGCAAATTCTATACAAAATGCCAAGTAAAGTAGGATTATTGGAATGTGTTAAAACCCACTAATCTTCCTATTATGGGATGGCAAAGATGAAGACATAACAAATTTTAAATTTTTAAAAAGATACTGCCTTTTTAGAAGGTTCTGAGACGTCTTTAGATAATACAGGGACGGCCACCCAGAGTCTGAAAATGAAGGTGTTAAAATGTGCAGATTCTTTTCCTGTGGCTCCTGTTTCTTACTCACTGTTCCTCTATCGGGGCATCTCTGCTCATGGGAGATTCATAGATAGTTTTACTCACCTAAGTCAAGAGGTTGTTATCAATTTGGATGCCTTCCATGAAGCAGCCTGGGACAGAGGCCAAGATGTCAGCTCTCCTCGCTGCTTCCAAGGGCTTTGTTCCCCTTTCCTGTTCCCGTTGCAGAAGGGGGTGTTACTCCTCAGGTCACCCAGGACATGAGCTGTGTGGTACTCAAGTGTCTCATCTGGGAGCACCAGGTTCCTCAAAAATTAATCAGTGCTTCTGACTCACAAGCACCTAGGAATTGAGCCTGTCCCAGATGCACATCTCTGACTTGTCAGCACCCGTGCCCCAATGGGAAAACCAAGGAACCTGTATCAAAGCAACCTGTCCAGTCAGCACTGCACTTGCGAGACATATAATATAGCTGCATTACAGGACTCTTGTTCCAGTGCTCTGTTCGTGAAAGCCAGTATCCTTTTTCCCTCCCCAGTTCATCCATAAAACCTTGAAGACACACTGATCTATTCTGACCCTGTCAAACACTAAGCCAGCTAGTGGTCCCTGGGCACAAGGGGGCAATATCATTATTGGGGCACTTCCTCTGATTTCTGCACTTGAAAACTTTTAGGTGCTCAGAGACAAACCAAGAAGGGTAGATGTTAAATAAATCTGCAAAAGACCCAAATAGTACAAAGTTAGCCAATTAGCCCGATTCAGTGATCGGGATGAGATGTGACCTAATTAAATTCAACAGTCTACAAAAGAATGTGTTCAAACCATTTCCTTTCATTATGAATTCTCTAATATGGACACTTTCAATTGAACACAGGATACCACAGAGGGCACCTCTTTGCTGGCATCTTCAAAGTGTCTCAAAGCTTCTTAAGTGCTTGTTTTTAAGCTAAGGGAATAGAATGACAGCCCAAATTTCAAGACAGGGATGGTGTGATTTCAGAGTCCACTTATGTCCCCCAATACTGCACAGAATCAATTTTAAATGTGTGCGTGTTGTGGGGGGGTGTTTTGTTTTTATTTTTGTTCACGGCAAGTCGGATGGTTCGAGGCCAAACCCCAGAGAGTCTGCAGCTGCACAACATCACCTTCTGCAGAGACCACTATGCTGAATGGCAGGCAGCCACGCCCTGCCCTGTACCTCAGTTTTCTGGCAAGGAACCTTCGGTAAGAATGAACCCAGGAGCTTGCACAAATAGTTGTCTCCATAGATAGTTAAAATAACTAGAGCACTTATATGCTTAAAATAGAACAGCCCGTGTCACCACCAAACAAAGCCAACTCTTTATTAAGTGTGCTAATGGAGAAATCGAGTTATGGATAATTTTAAAAGCGGTTTACTGCCAAAAGCACTCTGTCTATTTTGAACTGTGTTCTTCTACTTACATTTAAAGATGACTGTCAGATATTGTGGGGATTCACAACACAATCCTGTCCCTGGTTGGGTAGAAAGTCCTCAGGCCCCCACCCCTGCTCCCGGCATGCCTCACTCCTGGTCCCCTGCTTAACTGCCCGCTCCATTCTGAGAATTAATAGTATTGCTGCTCAGACGAATGTTAAGCACTACCAAATGAGAATCATGCCCTCTTTATAAGCTTACCTTCTTTCTTTCTACAACTTTTGGGATCAAAAAAAATTGGGGTGTTAGAATGCATTTATTTCCTGTTCTAATTAAGTTCCCATAACTGAAATAATGACATGTTAGCCCCAAAGAGTCTTAATTAATTAGAGTAGATGATAATATCCACGAGATCTCAAAAGCAGATTTCCTGGGTAAGCTGCAATCATTACAGCCGGTGGCATAGGTAAAAAGCAATAATAATCCCGTTTGGTCTCCTCAGGTGTCTTAGAATAATGCAAACCTTGGAATAGCTGGGTGATGCATGAAAGAAAGTAAATGAAACCAGTAGATTGAAACAAGGGGGAAATAGGCACCAAAAATACACATCATAAGACACAGGATTATAGTCTATAAATGGTAGGGATTTAGGAAATTAAGTCATCTACGTACGAAAAATATAATGACTGATTTTTTCTAAAATCCTCAAATATATTAAATTAAACACTGGATTTTAAGGGTGAAAACTGCTAGGAGGAATGTTTAAAGTGGAGAGAACTGGAATAGATGTGCCATTAGACTGTGTTTCTTTTAATGGCCGGTATAGATTGTCTCTGTCTTAAACTCAACTACCAGGAGCCACTACCCAGCCTGCATATTAATGAGGAACATGAATGCCTCTCTAAAATTTTCAACTACAGCATCTCCATAAAAAAATCAATATCCTCCCACACCTCATGCATACAGACCAGAACCTGCTCCTGCGCCTCTGCTGACATTAATTATCATTAAAGGGGGGAACTTACCCATCTCTCTGTTAACTCTCCCTGGCTACACCTCCTTGCACACCCAAACTCATGTTGTCACTCTTTCCCATTATTTTTAATGGATCCTGATTCAAAGCGTGTGTGGGCTGTGCAATTACTGCTTGGCTGAACTGTACAATATTCTCTCTGATAATCTCGGAGATGCTGTGCAGCATCCAAAAGGCATCCCAAGGACAAAGAAGGGTTCCTGCGCTCCACTGCACCCACTCCCCAATCTTTGCAGGACTCCAGATCTGCCTCTTTTCCTCACTTAACCGGTGCATCTTCGTGATGCTTTTATCAATCAGAATATTTATCCACCCACCTGTGTGGGGCTCTACTCCCAGTGAGGATGGGACACTTTGCACATCATCTCCTATAAACCCGCTGATCAAGAATTGCAGACACCTCAGGGATCTACAGGTTTGACTCCAGACCATGGCAATAAGGCAAATATCACCATAAAGCAAATCATATATTTTTTTTTGGTTTTCCAGTGCATATTATGAGTATACTAGGCTGCAGTCTAAAGTCTAAGTAACATTATGTCTTTAAAAAGACAAAAGAAAACAAAAAACAATGCACGCACCTTTATTTGAAAAAGAATTTGCTGCTAAAATATGAAAAACGAAGTGATCATGTGGCATTGGAGAAATGGCGGTGGACTTGGGCATGGTGCTGCCATAACGCTGAGGTTGTAAAAATCTTAGTATCTGCAGGATGCAGTAAAGTGAGGCGCAATAAAGTGAGGTGTGCCTGTATACCTGGCAATGTCTTTTCACTCCCCTGTCTACCGCACACTCACAGACACACAAGACTTCAGACTCTAGAATTGCTCATGCAATCCTTTCTCAAAAAATGCCTGGTCTTCCATAGTAAAAGAAGCACCTGCTTTCATTTAACTATGACATAGGCTAATAATAGTGACAGTTATAATAGTAATAGCAATGACACTTTTTTAATTACAGGGGAATGGTGTTAATATTGATAGTATAAAGAAATGCTTTCGCTGTGATCAAATCAATTCAGCCACCTTTTTCTAAACGGCTGTTCCATGCTTGGCATTGTACCAGAAGCAGGATTCAGAGACATGGCTCCTGTCCCTAGAAATCTCATTGTCTAGAAAAAGAGGCCACTCATAAACACACACATAAAATGAAATCAAAGCCAGCATGTTTTTATTTTCTTGTAGAAATGAAAAACCAGGAGCGAAAGTGGAGGAAACAAGTTGCATTACTACTGCTTTTAAATCAACATCGTTTTATTTCTATCATAAAATACTCACTGTACCATGACTTCTTGAGTATTTTTAGAGCAGAAAAAAATAAAGCTAAGAATCCACAGAGTATTTTAGTATTAAAGAAACTTAGGAACTAAAGAGTTCTGCCCCTTCCTTTAATAGATGGAGAAACTGATACCCAGGGAGTTTTGATGTCCCGTCTGTGGTCCCAATGGGCATTCCCAGCCAAGCACATCAGGAAGCCAGGGTGCCTTCACCTCTTCAAGAGCCACTCTGCACCTGTGGCCTCTTCCACCCCTCTCTTTGCCAGCTTTCTGCTGCCCTCTGCAATGACATAGCCCCAATATTATATTTATATAATAAGTATATTTATGTTAAGTAAAGCTAAGCCATTTAATACCTTGAAGAGACTTGAAATAAAATTGTCCTCCAACTCTCCCATTTTACAAAACAGAAAATAGGAACATATCAAGACCCAAGATTTGCCTCAATGTTAAAGATAGTAACCCCAAGATCAGAACCCAAGGCTTCAAGACCAGTCCAGATTCTATCACCAGGTGCCCCTCCTGCTCTGGCCATGCCCTCTTCTCCATGTTGCTGGTTCCTTCTAACCTGGTCATTGCTGCCAGGATAACAGCTCACCTGTGGCCCTACCTCACCCTCCCTTCCTCCCTCCCTCCTAGGGAGGGATCAATTTATATACTAGAGTAGAGACAGCGCTAGGGATTAATAGTTTGCATTCTCCTTCCTGGCTAATCAAAGAACAATTATTTACTCCATTTTATCAACATGGAAAAATCAGAGACCGTGACTAACGATTTGACGCCACCCAAATGAAGTGTGTGATGTTTTCAACGTTCTAAAACGGGCAGGAAAGATTATTTGTAAAAATACATAGAGACCAGGTGAGTGTCCTTGCAAATCTCTCTCTAAGCTTAGACAGAAAGAATTGCATTCTTGCCATCATGTCTGTCAATGTCCAATCCAGTTTTTAAAACACTTCCTGCTCCATTCGCCCATTCGTAAGAGACCTGAGGAGTCATTCCCTGGTCCCACCTGCCCTCACCACTGTCCTCTCGCTCTGCTCATCGCCACGGCCTCACCCTCGGCAGAGGTGGACAAAAGGTTTCATTCTCTCTGCTATTCTATACACGTCGCTGAACCCCACTGAGGCAGAAAAGAATAAGTGGGTCAAATTGCTTTGTGTTGTCTGCATAAATGGAGCCTTTACCAGGCAAACAAGAAGCTCCCGGGGTGGAAAGCAGAGAGGCTGCGGTGGGTGAGCAGAGGTGCCATGCAAGCAGAGCCAGAAATAAACAAAAGAGAACTAGAAAAACAGGAAAGGTAGCAGGAGTAAAAATAATGCAGAAAAAGGCTTGTGACCTGTTTTCCGCAAAGATGAGCAGGATGACAAGTAAGCGGGGGACTGGGGAGGAAGACAGGTAGCCAGAGGCTGAGAATGGCTGAGTTAAACAAATGCCTCATCCTTCGTGCCCCCGGAGAGCCCGCGCTAGCACCCAGGTGCTGGTGGGTTTAGAGCACCGAGGGGGAGTGTGGGGACAGTAGGAAACGGCTGGCCGTCAAGTCCTAGCCCCTGTGCTCTATTTGCCTCCCTAGCCCGACGGCAGGTGTCTAACTGAAGAATTAGGCTCATTCCCAAGAATCCTTAAACACCTAAAATTCACATAAATGTCTCAAGGTTTTGTAAACAAGTGTCGTTGCACGTCAGCGTTGGAGAGAAAGAAGAGTAATCACAGGGAGGCAGAGACCCGGAGCCAGTACAGGCCCGAGACCAGGCACCCCGGCTCCTGTCTTTCCTGTGCTCCCAACTTGCCTCTGTGGCCTTGGACGATTTGCTTGGCCTTGCTTAGCCTCAGTTTCCTCTCTTGCAAAAAAGAAAAAAGAATACCATATGCATTGTAAGGTCGTTGGGTTTCAGACCTAGTTTAAAATTCCTTGAAAATTTCAGGTTCCAAGAACAACAAAAATTAAGTGCCCATCCTTCCCTTTTAGAGGGAGAAAACACCTTTTGTTGTACCAACACCTGGCACAAGGACAGCCCCTAGGAAGATGTCTTCTACAGTGCGGCCTGTGCCCAGCAAAGGTTCACACTGACACGATTTGTTAAGAACAGAGACAGGGGGCCTCCCTAGTGGCGCAAGGGGTTAAGCTCAGCACTATCCAAGGCCACTGCAGCACAAGTTCGATCCCTAGCCAAGGAACTAACCCACATGGCGCAGCAGACCTCTCCTGACTCTCCCGCCGCCCCCCTCAGCAGTGTATTTCAGTCAGTCTGCCTGTTCTTCTCCCCACTCTGTCTCTGGTGAATCCTTTCACTGCCCCCCAACTCTGGTCTGCACCCCAGCTCTTGTATACATAAATAAATAAAATAAATATTTTAAAAAAAAAAAAAAAGAACAGAGATAGATGTTCAGTGTCGCAGGCCTCCAGGCAACTGTAGAGGCTTTTGTTTTGATTCTGTAAACTTAGATTTAAAATGCTACAACCGACTTTGTTTTTTCCCAGATGTTGTCTGCATGTGTATGTGTCAGTGTGTACAGGGTGTGGGTGTTTCTTCAGGCAGACTCCCACGTAGTGAGGCATTGTTGGTCCAAAAAATTCCTCTTTGAAGTGCCTTTAGAAGTGCAGCGTGGTGAGTCTTGACTTTGCCTGAGGCTGGAAGTGTCTGATGCCATCAAATGTTGCAGAAACCTCAGTCTGCTTTCTTATTTCTTATTTCTTTGTAAGATTGATTATTTCTGATTACGGAAAGGCATCATTGATCAGGTAAGCATAAAAACCAACTTGTAAACTTCAAGGGATCACCGAATGTTATAATATTTAATACAAGGAGACATCTTTGTGGTTGATCATTGGCCCAAAGTTAAAGGCACATGTCTAAACATGGTCATGTTACGCATGATCGGGTTCAAATGGAAAATATTTGGATTCTATTTTCATTTCCTTTTCCTTTCTGCTGCTCTCTGCAGGCTTGGAAGTGGGTCTTAGGCCCTGTGGTTCTGTACATGTGTGAGAGAATGATTAGATTCTGGAGATTTCAACAAAAGGTGGTCATTACCAAGGTAGGCATGTAGCTTTATGTCTGAATAAAAGCCTGACTGTAGATGAAAATTTTTTATAAGCCCAAGTTTTTAATTTGCCTCTTTTATTATAAAACTGTCCATAATTTAGAGACTCATCATCTATTCCAGTAATGGCTTATATCTTGTGCATCTTTTAGTGTGACTGATTTTACTGGACAGAGGGATCAGGGCTTTAGACTAGTACATAACGTGGAGAAGGTTATGACACAGCCATGAAATCTTACACATTTCTCTTTATTTTGGATCCTCTTGGGTGGGCTGAGTATGCTTTATGGGGTCCTAATAACCTAGAGTAGATTGACGTCCTTCACCATATGAAGACAGGGATTTTGCAAACACACAAATATGTACGTGGATTTTCAAGCACACACTTTTACATCTGGAACTTGTAAGCAGAGGATGGGGGAACAGTCAGCCTCAGGTTCAGAGGGAGAAGGGGTGCATTGGCTCCCAAATGGAGACGGGAAGAGGAGAATCTCCAGCCAGAGACCTAGTGCTTTGTGATGGTGTTGTCCAATCTCACCGTCCACCTCAAAGCCCCCCGATTTTTGCCTCATGCTGGTGGAAGATGTAAACATATCAACAAAGGGTACATGTCTAAGAGACGGAAATGTGTTTTGGGTTTTTTTTAAGATTTATTTATTTATTTATACAAGCACTGGGTACAGTCAGAAGCATGGAAGGGTGAGAGAATTCACCAGAGCCAGAGTGGGGAACAGAACAGGCAGGATGAGGATGAACACTGCTGAGGGGAGCAGCGGGCGCGGCAGGAGAGGTCTGCGCGCCATGTGGGACCCTCGCCGGCGGCCGGGGATCGAACCGGCGCTGCAGAGGCTGCGGGCAGCTTTGCAGCCCAGCGCTCAACCGCTGTGCCACCAGGGGAGGCCCTGAAATGTTCTTTTTAAATGGCTAGAAAGAAATTCTCTGTTAACCGAACCCCTGCCTCTTTGCTAACGCGATGCGAACAGAACACACTGGGTCTCCGTAAGTGTCATCGGGAGCGCAGATGAGAGGTGTTGCTCCCTATTTCTGATTTAAGCTGTTTCTGTGTTGCTGTTTTTAAGCACCAAAGGATATCAGGTTGTACCTAAAACCAGACAGTAAAACTTCTGGAAATCTATTCAATACTAGAGCTGTTACTAAGGAGACAATTTTCCAGTAGCTTCAGAGCAAATGTCAGGAGAGGAGAGACAGAACTAATGACTAAAATGCTGTGAAATCCTCTTCTAAATGGAAAGATATTGCCACGGGCTCTAGACCCTAGATTTTATTCCCATATACTTTTGGCCATGACAGAAGACAAGCCTGAAGAGATGTTTCAGAAAACAAGATGGAAATCTAAGGAAGGAAATTTATTATTGCATATAAAGTTCTTGTGTAGTAAGCCCCTGGGCCTCCCTGATGACCTAGGGGTTAAGTCTCAGCGCTATCACTGCTGAGACTTGAGTTCGATCCCCAGCCAAGGAGACTCTTCTGACTTGCCTGCTTCTCCCCTCAGCAGTGTATTTCAGTAGATCTGCCTGTTCTGCTCCTCATTCTATCTCTGGTGAATCCTCTCACCCCTCACACCTCTGGCCTGCACCCCAGCTCTTCTACAAAACAAATATTAAAAAAAATAGACTGATAAGCCCCTTTGTATGCTCCTTACAACTAAAACTCAGGAGCCTGTGCAGGAGACTCGGCTGAAACAAATCAAGCAAACAAGACATTTCAGAGCAAGTGCAAAGATTGTTTTCCACTTAGAAGGAAGATACCAGGGTGAGTTCCCAAGGGAAAAAGAGAAGATGCAGATGTTGAAAATGGTGATTACCTGGACAAACATTTTAAAAACATGGAGATAATTTTTATAACTATTTTTAGTTATTAACTTTAATAACTGTAATAATAATTATAATATAATGATGACTTTAAGCATAATTAAGTACTCTGAACAATATGTTAGTTTATATTCTCTTCCATGTGGTCCACAGTCTACTCAAAGCCTGGTTATTTAGACTTAAAGTCACATGCTGGACCCCATTTTGCCCCTGGTGGCATCGACCCAAATTTCAGGAATCGCTTTCTGAGGGAGAGAAACTTGATTCTGGCTGGAGTTGCCAGACAAGATATGAAAATAATGGCAAAGGTTCTGGAAGCTCATAGCAAATAGTACATGTAAAATATTCCTCAAAAACAAAAACTAATTTAACATTTATAAAACCTTTGAAGGACACATAAGCAACTTAGTGTGGGCCCTTTGCCTGTGGTAAACAGTCATTCTGCCACACCGTGGGACAACAGTTTGTACAGCCGGGAAACAGCATGACTGGTCACATACGAAGGCAGAAGCAAGCTCAAATCTGCCTCCTGCCCTTTACAGGGGTGGGGGCTGTGACGGGTGAGTAGGAGACACAGAGATCAGGGTAGAGCAGGGCAAGGGAGGAAGGAGGATCTGAACTTGCAGGTGTAGTGGCTGTTCATGTCTCCTCCTGGGTCTCTTATTCATTTTCAAGAGGCTTAGCACGCGCTTGAGGGATTTGGAGGGTTCGATGTCAGAGGGTTATGCTGATCACTTCTGGGCATCACGTGTGTGTCCTAGGACAGAACTCCTCCATCACCTGCTTCAACCAGTTTCAGCTGATCGGGATCTGCTGGCCTTACAAAAACCCGTGGACAAGAGCTTGTGGGGGGCGGTTGGGATAAGCAGGAGGAGAGAGCCATGGCGTGCTTTGACCACTCCTTGTGAGCCAAGCTTGGCAAACTGTTTTGCAAAACAGTTTCTGACCACGATCTCAGAAGGAGGACAATTTTCTGATCATTTAACGTGAGTAAAAAGACAAAACTCTTTCTCTGACACAGGTGGTGAGCCATCCATCTGGAGTCCTAGAACTTCAGATGAGAAAGCGTCACTTTAAGATGGCGCCGGGACAATACATCTTGATCCAGTGCCCATCCATCTCCCGCCTGGAATGGCACCCATTCACCCTCACCTCCGCTCCCCAGGAAGACTTCTTCAGTGTGCACATCCAGGCCGCGGGGGACTGGACCGCAGCTCTGTGTGAGGCCTTCGGAGCAGAGGGCCAGGTCTCCAAGGAACCCGGGAGCCTGCCAAGGTAGAAACCCGTTTCTTCTTTCACAGATATGTTAGAGTAGTATGAGAAGTAGGTATTTTGGTACGTCCACATGCCACCAAATTCAGCAATCTCTTTATTCTAAGTGGTAAATTCGAATCCATTTTTTAAATTCGATAATCTAGAAAGTACAAGTGAGTAGATTTCTAGCAGAAGCAAGTACATTTTTTTAAACAGCAAATGTTAACCACGGCAGGCAATGATCTAGGGGAGGAAGATTTTGCTCTGCCAGCTCCAGAATGTCACTTGACTAATTCTGCACAGACTGTGATGAGTAAAAGGCAGCCCTGTGTACTTTTACTGTCACAGTCTGAAATTATATTGGTAAAGTTCATGATGTCTGGTCTTCATAAAAAGGATACATCACCATCGGCATTCTTCTGGCAGATTGCCTACACCAGAGAAGGAGCTAAGCAATTCCAGATTAAAGGTTACACATGACAAAGTGATCTGAGAGGCAGGAAGATCAGTGATGTCAGGCAGGCGGCCCTGCACACGTGTGATTGCTACCAATATTAATTAGTCACCACTGTGTTCCAGCAGCCCCGAGACGGCAGAATGTTACCTCCATCCTCTCAGACTTGAAGAGGGCTAGGGAAAACAGCATGCAAGCACATGATTTGACTTTGCTAAAAGGGAAATGTTTGAAGGATGGAGCTGAGATGCGGGAAAGCATGTGCGTGCACCTCCTGGACTGTCCTAGCAAAGCACACGCAAAGTGGGTGACTTACAACAATAAAAGTTTGTTCTCTCACAGTTTTGAAGGCAGTGGATCTGCAATTTGTGCGTCAGCAGGGCTATATTCCCTGTGAAACCTGCAGGGAAGCATCCCTCCTTGTGTCCTCCCAGCCTCCAGGGTTTGGCCAGCGCTCCTTGGTGTCCTTGGCTTGCAGCTGCAGCAGTTAAACTCTGCATCTGTCACCCCAGGCTGCTCTCTGCACTGTGTGTCTCTGTGTTTCTGTGATCCCTTCTTATAAAAACACCAGTCATGTTAGACGAAAGGTCCATCCAACTCCTTGTGATCTCATCATCCTTGACTTATTACACCTGCCATAGCCTCATTTTCAAATAAGACATATTCTAAGGTACTGAGGGTTAGAACTTTAACATATGCACTGGGAAGACACTTCAATCCACAACAGCATCCTATTCAAAAAAGGTTGGCATAGGCTGTTGGCATGTTGAGTGAAGTGATCACTCCTTGACTTCTTTTAATAAACAATGGCTTAAAGTTGACTCCCATGCTGCTGAAGAATTTCCCAATAATTAGAAAATCAAAGATGTACCAAAATGAAAAATGATGGGGAGAACATTTTGAAAGAGTATATTTCAAAAGAGCATCAAGAGATTCTTTCTCTACCATCTCTGGAGGGTATAAAGAAATACCAAGTGGTGGTTAATGCCATAAGGAATGTAGTGGTGCTTATCATCAAGGAAATGCAAATCAAAGCTACAAAGAGATACCACCTCATACCCTTATCAAAAAGGCCAGAAGCAACAAATGCTGGTGAGGATGCAGAGAGAAAGGCAGCCTCACACTCATCACTGTTGTGTTGAGTGAGCTCTTCTGAAAGCCTTTGCCTCTGATGGAGGAATTTCCCAGCCGTGACAGTAGAGTTTTCAGAGACTGAACCCACTGCCCAGAGCCAGTGGCTCCAGAATCAGACAGCTGGTCTGGAGCCCAACTTTGCGTGTGCTTATGGAGAATGTATGTAACACCTTGCCTCAGTTTCCTCTTCTGTCAATGAAGAAAATCATGAAACCAGCGTGGTCATGGTGGTCTTTTTCTGTTTCTGCTTATGATGCAAGAACAGTAGGGCAGGTTTTTGAGGATGAAACAATAGAATAAGAATACCCCTACCCAATTTAAATGAGGAAAAGGGAGTATTTTATAAGTGGAAAAGTTGTGTTTCAGAGCATAGGCCCAGAGGAGGGTTCACTGTCCTTCAGGTGACTTCTCATTGCCTGGACAGAAAAATGGCCACGGAAGACAGACCAGGATGCCTGACTTAGGGGTAAATAGACAATACTCAGAGGCCATGGGTGCTCAGTTTGTAGCAGTTCTTGACCCAAATTTGAGTGGCACCATGATTCAGCGGGAAGCAACCTATTAGACTCAACCAAGTTAATTTTTTTTTATATTTTCTTTGTTCCTCAACCCCATGGACATTGCCCAAGATTCCATCCTCATGGAGAGTGATTGGAGAGCCTGGCCTCCAGTCTCCACTAGGCGACCTTTCATTGACTAGTTCTTTTCTCAAAAGCTGTTGGCATGGTGATGGGTGTATGCACCCTTGGATAGCAGGAGCACATGAGGTAATAATAGTACATAGGGTTTAAGATTAAATGTCCTTAGCATAATGAATAGTGTGGGGGGAGGCAGAAATGGTGCTGCTATTATTATTGCAAATAAGAAAGGCTGTCTAAATAGAGGTGAGAATGACAGGGAGGCTTAGCCAGGAAGAACATGGTGAATGAACAGAGGTCGTGGAGTCAGAGAAAAGTGAAGTTTGATGAGGAGGGTGGAGATGCTGCTGCTGAATTTGAGCAACAGGGAACAGCATGAAGTGGGTATTGGTAGGGTGAGTCTTTTTCTAAGCTGCTTTATTGAAATTTCTGTGTCCAAACAAGAAGGAAGAAGCTAAGTGAGCTTAATAAGCCAGAATGAGTGCAAAGGAAGCCCATTCAGAATTGTGACAAGCATTGAGAAAGGGAACAATTAATTGTAGTCCGAAAGAAAACAATCAGATGTCACAAGAGCAACGACTGACTATGTAAAGGGCTGAGATGTAGGAAAGAGAAGAGGGTTGGTTTGTGTTTCTTACAGAAGCAAAAGACTGGAGTTATTAGAAGGAAATTTCAGTGAGACCCAAGAAAACACCAGCTGGCACTGGTGGGGTCTACATGGAACTCGGTGCCCTGTGATTTGCCATCAGAGCATGCCCAGCTGCCGGGGAAGTGGAAGGCTTCCTGCACTAGCAGGGAACTGGAATAAATATTTATTCCTGCCACTTCCAGCTTAGATTCTCAATTCTAATGATGCAGAAATGTGTTTGTTATGTACTTCTGTGGATTATATGACACAATTCATTTTGGGTTTAATTGTTATCTTCTAAAATCAGTGTCAAATAAATCCTAGATATGACCAATTATAAAAACAATTAACAATAAGACATTTTAATCCATAGACAGTCACCATCTTTTCTCTCACAATCCTCCTTGTCTAATTATTTATAAGTAATCTACAGTGGGCTGAGACACTAACCCTTTCTGGTTAATGACCTTTTATTTTTGCTCTTCCATTTCCATATATCAATATGTAATAAAGCCTTATTAATTAAGATTAACTTGAGGAGAGTTCATTTGAATTGTTAGAAGGTCTGGCATATGGAATATTTTTAAATAAACACAATTGAACTTTCATGAACACATAGTAAGCCCAAATGGGCCAACCTCGGCTGCCTTCACAGACACCCCTTAGGGAATGGTTATGAATAACTTAGAACTCTTTTAATTAGCATATCTTTGTTCATATGTAAATGCATGCTTTTTGGAATAGTTGCGTTTATTTAATACATTCTGCTGACTGAAATATTTTAAACATTTCCTTTACAATTTATTCAGCAATTGTTAGGAACAGCTCCAGGCCAGAGAGCACTGGAGGCTCCAGGATGCAGTGATGAACGGACAGACACAGCTCCTACCCCCATAGAACTCAGACAGACAAAAGCCAAATCATGCACTCTCATGTCCCCATCACACCCACCGCCCCCCCAAAAAACCTGTAAATCTGAAGCTGTGCTAGACACTGCGAGGGGCACAGTGCAAGGGGTCTATAAGTCAACTTAGGGGTCCAGAAGTTTTCCCAAAGAAATTGATTGGAATAAGACCTCCAGGAAGACCTACCATTAACCAAATCAGGGGGGAGGGAAATTGGGGGAGAGTATTTCAACTTATTACTTGGATTATCACATGCAAATCCTCTATGGTAAATGGAGGTGTTATGTGGGTTTTTTAAATTCTTTTAAATTTTTTATTTTTTACATCATTGTTTATTTTTAAAAAATATTTGCTGCTCCCCAACCCTTCATGTGTAGTTCCCATAGCGTTTCCTTCAACAATGCACCCGTGCACCATCACCACGGTTCCTGTTACGTGTTTTAAGAAATGGAAGAAAAGCCAGTGGGGAGAGCTGGAGAGGAATCCAGAGACCAGTCTGTCCAGGACCATGTTAAAGACAATCATATATAGTCAAGGAATAGGCTTGAAAGATTTGCTAAGCAAAATGAAACAACAATGCCACCCCTGGCCTAATCATCACAGATTTTGAGTTCACATAATCGAAAATAACATGTTTTAGAAATTCCACTTAACTGACAAATTATTTCAAAATCATACTGATTCCAAATGGATGGTTTCTCTTAGACTAAAATTATATAAACTTACAAAGATGTGGGGCTGAACCAATAAAAACAGGGAGAATTACACAGTAGAACAACAGCTGAGCCTTCTAAATCACCTTGATGGCTCTGCTTTTTTCTTCTGATGGCAGCTTGAAAAGGAAGGAAGGGAAATAGAGGGAGGGAGGGGGGTGGGGTGGGGGGAAAGCCTTCTTCTACCAGGCTTTTGTGATGCTTAAAGCCAAAGCAAGTAAGAACTGCTTGAAAATTGTGCTACATGGAAGAGGCATGAGCTCAAGCCAGAGAAGTCACGCTTTGTCCTTTCATGAATGGCAGCTGGGTTAGACTGATCATCTCCCCATTTGGCAGGCTCCCAAATCCTCATGTCCAGCCCAAGGTCTCCAAATAAGTTGTTCTAGAGCACACAGCTGACTTGCCTGTGCACGTTTACCAACATTCTACAAAATGCCCTGACGTAGGATAGTTGTGTTTTCAAGAGCAGAGTGCTGTGATTGACAACCAGGCCGCTCTTTGCTCCTGCAGGCTAGCAGTGGATGGACCCTTTGGAGCCTCGCTGATGGACGTGTTTCACTACCCAGTGAGCGTGTGCATTGCTGCAGGAATAGGGGTCACTCCCTTCGCTGCACTCCTGAAATCTGTCTGGTACAAGAGTGAGTCAGAAACCCAGCTGAAGCTGAGCAAGGTATGCAAAAAGAAGTCATTAGTTCATCCTTCCATGGATTAAAAGGTTCAACATCCTTATATCTATCATCTGCCGATTCTTGGGGAGGATTTTAATTAACTAGGAGGGATAAACTCAAAGATCCTTAACTATACTTATGTTCTTAAAAATCTCCATTCAGTATTATATTTATGAGAAGGGTTATGTCTAATCTTGTTAAAGATGACAAGACATAAATTTTATTGCTTCATTGCCATTACAGGACATGTAATTGCTCATGTCAGTAAAATATGGACAGGCTGCAAATGGCTATGTGACTGGGCTGCAGTTAGTAATATTAACAGGCAGCCTCTGCCTTCATCTCTTTAGTTTGATACTGTGGTTGCAAGTGTGCAATACAATATCTTCTTCTCGTGGACCAGGGTCTTAACAAAAGGTCAAAATGACATAACTGGCATTTGTTGGCCTTCTTCCTTGGTGCTTTCCAGCTCTGAATCTCCCCGTGGCCATTTCTTATATATTCTTTGTCCAGATGCCACCATGGTTCCCTTAATACATTTGTCCTATCCAGAGACTGTCTCATACTTTAATCCTCTTAAGACAAGCAGCCGACCCTAGGGCAGTGGGAGAAAGGGAGCCACATTAACACCAAATAGAGTGAACTCAGGGGAATCCAGGATATCAGGCCAGCCTGGTTCTGGCTCTGTCATTTCTTTTCTGGTCAAAACCTTGGCTGCAGTTCCCTCATCTACCAAAGGAGGATGCTTGACTAGATCAGCATGTTCCAGTAGATGGTCTATGAAATGTTGATCATGGAACGCTCCCCTGGAGCATCAGGTGGCTAAATGAATTTCAGAAACATTACCACAAATCTAGCATTAAAGGGTCACATTATCTATTAGCCTATTAAATAAGTTTACAGAAGTTCATTTGGTTTGTGTTTCACCCACCCTTCCCAAGCCTTTTTAGCCATAGACACTTTCTTCTTCAAACATTTCTTAAGAAATAGCATTCTGAGAAACCCTAGGGGTGAGTGCCAGCTAGGAGTCCTCTACTATCTCTACTGCTAGGGTTTTCACAACTAAGACATAAGAGTAAATTAGCCATCATCTCATGAGTTTCCAAAGGACAGGCATTGGAGATACATTTTCTCATTTGGAGATACATTTTCTCATTTGATCTTAATATGTCCAATAACCTTAAAAAGCAGTGCCTATTTTCTACATAAGCAGCCTGAAACTTAGCAAGACTAAGGTGACTTTCCTGAAAATACATGGGTAATAAAAGGCAGAACGAGGATTCAAACCCAGGCTCTTCTGGCTTTTGCTGTGATATAACCAATAGTGGCAGACATGCCCCCCATCATTGTATTGAGGAAACACTTGGGATTCCTGGTCAGAGAAACCTCCTCAGCTTGATTCTGCCCTCACCAGAAGCTTTAATTTGAGAACCTCAGTTCACCTTTCTGAATAGCATTTCCTGACACACTGGAGAAATAAGACTAACTCCCAACAAGCAGTTTAACACCAAATAAGTTAAATTAAAAATATGGAAATATTTCTGTGTACCTGTGTATAAAATGGTAGCAAGTTTATTACATCTGCCAAAAATACATAGACAACTACTGCTACTACCAGGACTAGCATAGATTTATCAAGCATTGACCACTTGCAGGAAAGTAGTTGGGCATCTTATACATAGTATCTCACATCATATTTTTAAGGTTCTTACTGTTTTTATTCCCCTTTTACAGATGAGGTAACTAAAGCTAGATCACACCGCCAATAGGAGTGGTAGGTTCATATTGTTGAATTTCCATGAGACCTCTTTCAACTAAGTACTATTGTCATTTGACAATGAGGATCCTAATGTGCAGAGAGCTAGTAACCGGTAGAAGGAGAGAGTGAATTCATGCCCTTCTCATGCTAAAGCCATCTTCTTTGCTCTATGCCACAATAACTTTAAAAAAGCATCTTAGTTCCTTTGGGTGCTTTCACAAAATCCCATAGAGCAGGCGGCTTACAAGCAACAGAAATTTACTTCTCGCAGATCTGGAGGCTGGCAAGTCCAAGATCAAGGCTTCATCAGAATTTACTTGATGAGAGCCTGGCTGCTGATTCATAGCAGCCACCTAGCTGGAACCTGTCTGGCAGATGGGGCAGAGGGATTTCCTTGAAGTCTTTTTTTTAAGGTCACTTACTCATTCATGAGGGCTCCACCCATATGACCTACTCACCTCCGGAAAGCCTCTCCTCCCAAATGGAGCTTTTGGTTTCCACATGTAAATGCTGAGGGGACACAAACACTCAATCTAAGGCACAAGCAAGCAAAACAGCTACTGGTTTCCATGTGTTTTCAGTGCGTTGTTATGGCTTATGCTGCTTGCTCAGTCCTCTTAAGCTTTTTCCTTCCGCTTGCTCTCTACCAAGTAAAGACACTTATAAATAACTTTGTGATTTTGATTACACTAAGGATCCTGTTCTGTTTCACCTGCATATGGTGAAGCGTTGATTGTCTCACTTGCATCCACTTATTCACTCAAGGAATATTTATTCAGCACCTACTAAGTGCCAAGTCCTCTCAAACCGACATGAAAAGCTCTTCACAGGATACTTAAGGTTACCTTGCTTTCTCTCAACCTCCATGCCCATACACTGTCCTTCTTTTATATCATCTATCTTTCTTTTCTGTATTGAGACACACAAAATATCTTATTTTTCCCTAACATATAAATATGTATATTTTTTTATCTGAATACTTATTTTCAGTTGAGCATTTTCAGTTGTACATATATGTGTGTATATAAACACACACATATCCATATACATGTATGCAATACATGCATGTCTGTAGATACTGTCTATGTATGTATCACATATGCTCTATCAATTTTGAATAAATCAATCCATGAATATTTGTGTACCCCCAAAGAATGAATAAATGGCTTCTACAAAATTTTCTGTAAAATTCTAGGTTACTAAGATTAATTCATTCCTTGATATAACCAGAAAGACTATTCAATAATTTAACAATTAAAATAATACATTCCTATTATTTTATTACCAATAAGAAAAGTTCTTATAAGCACCCACGCAATCTAAAGTCCATATAGAAACTCATGAAATCTTAATCCATCCTCCTTTCTCATATTCCCTTGTTATTCTTGGTTCGTGTTTAGGGATTTCTCAATGCTTTCTCCAGTGGGAAGGAAAATAGCGACGTTGATCTCCAGTCCAAAAGCCATAAAATTGGAAATAAAGAAACTATGTTTCATAACTGATACAATCAGGGATAATATTGGGACAATACTCAATTGATAACAAAAGCAGGAGTAATGGCTTAAGGGACAGGAAGCTAACTGGGTAGACTCACCCAAGAATTCCAGGGGCCTTGACCTTCTTGCTTTGCCTGTGACCATGCAAGTTGGTGTCGGCATGTAGATGGGGAACTTATTTGTCCAGAGACACTCAGCCACTTAGCCACTGAGTCAGGAGGTAGCATGTGTTTCTGATTTCAGCACTCTCTGTGAAGGAAGTGAGGCTTCATGCTATTGAAAGTTGAGGCTGAAATTACACTTAAGCTCCACTTCCTTGGAGTCTGCACACAGGAGAAAATGTTTAGAAAGTTTCTCTGCTTTAAAGCAACTTTGTGTTTGTGTGAATACAGCTATCATTAGGCTTATGTAACTAATATTTGTCAGGCCCTCCCACATGCTTTTGAGATATAAATACCACTCCTTCCACTAAACTGTCAGCATCTATATAATTTTTAAAGTGCAGCAGAGCAAAGCACTAATATTTATCCAACAGCGTCTTCGCAATTACAGATCTGAGCTACAGTTTTCACATTGTTCTCTTCTGTAACAAGGAAGGGGATAAAAAACAACACAGGGGTCGAAGCTAGGATTTTAAGCCTAAACAGTTAACTACAATTAGGCAGGATTTTCTCCTCCCTGGGCTAAACATCAGTGGGCATGAAGGTATACATTTCTACCTACAAGCCTCATGTTGTCAAGTCTATAGTAAAAAATTCACACCAGAAGTTTCCTCAGTTGTTACCACCGCAAATTTGATCTCTTTACCCTTTTTTCTGCCACATTTTTCTAGAACCCATGTAAGTAAAATGCAGGGAGAAAAAGCAATAGACTCTGCTCCTTCTCTGGGATAATGTATAGCGCTTGCCATTTGAAACTGATTTTAAAATCCCTCTCCAGCAATCTTTTATTTTTTAAGTTTTTTTCTTATTTATACAAGAACCGGGGTACCAGCCAGATGTGTGAGAGGGTGAAAGGATTCACCAGAGTCAAAGTGGGGAGCAGAACAGGCAGACTGACCGAAGTACACTGCTGAGGGAGCAGTGGGTGATTTTGGAGAGGTCTGCCCTGCCATGTGGGTATCTCCCCAGACAGCCGGGATCAAACCCACACTGCAGAGGCTGCAGACAGCTTCACAGTGCTGCGCTCAACCACCTGCGCCACCAGGGAGGCCCAATCTTTTATTTTTAAAGATGGTGGGAGGAGGGGAAAAGGAAGGAGTAGATGCGGTTGAGAGGAGACTCCCCAAGAAGGCAAAACAACACTAACCACAATGACAACTTGCTGGGAAGAAATTGGGGGAAATGTTTAAGATATTAAAGGGATATTTTCAACACAGGAATCAGAGTCAAACTTCCTTAGGTGAAGGCGGATGAGGACACAGAGGTCCTTGGAATAAGGGCAGGGGTGTGAGGGGCTGTGCATCTTTGTGCTATGGATAAAACTGAGTGCTGAAGGGTGTGAGTGCTCCCTGGCGAGGAAAGTCCTCCACCCCAGTCTAACAGGTATGATTAATTCTACATCACACTCAATTTGTGAAAAGAGCTCTTGAAAAAATTAGGACAGTTTGCTTGTGCAAACTGTCAAAATGATGAATGAAATAGTTGTGTACAAATGGGGAGGGAGGGGGGGAGATGGCTGACATAAATATATTAGCTTTCCACGTTTAGTTCCCCCTAATATCACCGCTGTGTAGACAGAGCCATGAGAACTGCCAACTGCGAAATTTGGTTCATTTTCTTAACTGCATATGTAATCTTCAGACTATAATAAAATAGATTATCGGAAAACTGAGATAATCTAATTTCTTCATAAATTGTCTTCCTTCATCAGTTCAATAATATATAACTGTGATAATGGGTATTTATAGCGTGTCCCATGCAAAATGGCCTTTGGGTTTCCTAACCTAATATAATAAACAGATAATTCAAATAAAAAGACAGCAGGGGCCAGTGGGAACCAGGCAAATAGGCCAAGAAAGGCAAAAATCCATACTCTGCTTAAATATATTAATAAAACAAAGGAGGGCCTGTTCTCTTTTCTAATGAATGAAAAATGCATTTAATTTAATCGGTTGCGTTGGAGAAATTATTTACCTTCACTTTCCCTCACACTGGAGCTCTGGCCTCTCCTGGAACTAAATGATCCTCTGCACTAATGCCTGAGAAGTGGGGAGCGGGAGCCACGTGGGCTTTGCCAGAAGATTCCTGAGCACCCCATCTTTCACTAGACCATCTCAAGAACTTCAATCTGCCTTTAGGCTTCACCATGGTCCTGTGGGCATCTGACCAGCATTCTCATTTTTTAATATCTTGGTTTATTAACCACACAAGCCATACAAGTCAATCGTGTCCCCTGAAAAGGATTCAAATAAAATAGTCAAAAATCTCCCTTCATTTGCCTTCCCCACCAAACTAACCATCACCACCACCACCACCTTGCTTTCCAGGAAGAACCCATTAAACAGATTAGTGCATCTTATTCCATCCCTTTTCCATGTTTTTGTGCACGTATACTCACCTATACACATATGCAGGGTGTTATTTTATTTCGTTTTGATTTTCGTTGCTGCATGTAGCATGGATTAGCAACTCCAGTGTCATTTCATTTTGTTTTTTCATTTCATTTTGTGCTGTCATATGGCTATCTCAGTTGTAATTCTATTGTTAACGAACATTTCATTAAGTATTGTGACTGTAATTAAAATCAACAAAGATAGAAAAATATCAGTTCTTGGTCATAGGAGAAAGTAGCAATGAAATAATTGCCATGAAATAATTAACATTAAGGATAATGACTTAAAGGACTAAAAATCCCTGAAAAAGATGGATCTCAGTCTTTCAATGGTTAGCTGAAGAAACAATTTTATAATTATCTCTCTTTAAAATCGAGTATGAAACTCCCATTAGGGAAGCTTCTCAGGAAAAAGATATGTTTGCTTCATAATTTGTTTGCTGTTGCCTTCATAAGAATGATTTTGGCAACAACAACAAAATAAAACCAGGATAAGAATAGCTACCATTATTGAGAAGATTCTATATTTTTCTACATATCAGATGCAGTTTTTACCTTCTCTGAAAAAGTTCTCTCTTTCAAATATAGTCAAATTCTCCATCCCCCTACTTGTGTGGAGCTTCTGTCAGTCCTGTTATTATCTATACAGTGTGAAGTCTCCATCAGCTTGGGATGCTATCACAAAAGTTCTATGGACTGGATATCTTCAATCACAAACATTTCCTCACAGTTCTGGAGGCCTTAAGTCCAAGATCAGGTGCCAGTGTGGGTGGGTTCTGGTGAGAGCTCTCTTCCCAGCGTGCAGGCGGCCACCTCCTCACTGTGTCCTCACATGGCAGAGAAAGCTCTGGTCTCCCCTCTTGTCTCAAGGGCACTACTTACATAGCAGGAGGCCCAACTTTCATGACCTCCTCTAAATCTAACCACTTCCAAATACCAAAATGCCATTGGGTGCTAAGCTTTCAAAAGATGATTTGGGGTTATCTATATAACAAAGTTTGTTCTCTACCACATGCCACCATGTTAGATAAAACAGCCTACTGAGAGTAAGATGGAGGGATTCTATAGAGGAGAAAAGCAATAAATTCCTCAGTAAGTTTTCTTTTTTAACCAGGGGCAAAGCAAACTCCAGTGAGGGCTAAGGTTTTCCAAAGGGTTATTTAGATTAGGCACAACAACACAAATTGAGAAAGAAGATAGCCATGTTTGACACCCACAGAGGATGTGAAATCCATTTCCTGGTCTCCAGACATGTGCCCTTGTTCCCCTTATGCCCTGCAGTCTATTCTCAGCAAAACAGGCAGGTCCCCTTGCCCTGGTGCTTCCTCAGATCAGGCCACCCCCTGCATGACATCCTCCAGTGCCCCACGTCTCACTCACAGCCGTCAACAATGGGTGAGAGTCAACATGGCCCCAAAGCAAATCTATACCTCCCTGACCTCCCCCATCTTTGCTACTCTTCCTTCCCTCCCTGAAGCTCCTCCCTGAGAGGTCCCTTGGGGTGTCTTCCCTCTTAGCTCTTCCCCTAACCATCTCACCTCTTCCTCCAACATCTCTCTGCTCAGCTGTCTCTTTCCTTTGACCATTTGACTTAATATTGCAACCCTTTCCGATCTGTCTGGTATTTCTCTATAGTATTTATCACCCTCTGGCATAACCTATATTTTACTTAGTAATTAACGTCTTTCTTCCTCCCAATTGCAAAACTCTGCAGGGACCAGGAATTGTTCTCTCTCTCATTTGCACTTACAGCTCCAGAGCCAGGAACAGTCTTGGAATGTTGCGCATTCACTGCCCATTTGTTGCATCAGCAAATGAGTGAATGAACAGTCTTCATACTTGTGGGGGATGGCGGGGGGTGGGGGGCACTAGAGGGAAATACTGGTTCAGTTTTACAACCAAGAAGAGACAGGCACTCCTTGTGGGGAGGGGCAGAACATTTGTCCCGAGATTAATATTCAAAGTACCCTTCCAAGCAGCAGCTGTCCAACAAATATGTAGACTAGTTCTTGAGAGAAGGTCTTATCCTCACTAGCTCTTGTTCTCCCTGGCTGTTAATATTATAAATTCCTGCATAAACCTGCAGAGAATAGGCAAGATGTTTAGCCTTGAAAATACATTCTGTGATTTTTGTTCCCATGAATTTGATCGGTTAATTAAATCTCATCTATAAGTTTCTTTGTATGATTTTGAGCTTGCAGACTAACTGGTGAAGGTAGAGGGAAAACTGATTATTGGAGGACATTATTCTCCCATGGAGATCAAGACCAGCCCTGGGTCCATCCTGCTCAGTAGCGATGTCTCTGGGGAGGGGATAGGCAGCAGGGGGTAAAAAGGTGAGAAAAATCTGGAGAATTAATAGATCGATTTCCCATGGTTTTTTCTAGATACAATTATCAGAAACTCAAAGCAGAACAGCTAAGCCTTGATTGTAGCAAACCCAAACTACTCTTGGTCACATGCCATTTTCTAAACCCAGAGAATTGCAAAAAAACTATTTCTAGACCTAATTTCATTAGAGCAGTTGTCACACACCACGGCCACCCAGCCCCGACTTCCTTGAACACTGATATTGTCCAACTGAGGGGAACCGTCTTGGGCTGTGTGACTTGAGGCTACTGTTACCATAACCCCATCCTCTGGGGGTCCTGCCCAGTGAAATGGATCAGGGCACCAGTCTTTGGGGTCCCTGGAGAAGAATGTTTAAATCCAAGCTTAGGTCATAAGTACAGATGAAGGGGCTTGGTCTGAGAGTTTATCCCCCTTTGGGGGCAGTGAAAGGCACAGCTAGTTATGATTATTAACCTCGCTCAGAAGAAGCACAGCCAGGAATGTGTTGAATTGATCCTCATCCAGAGAAACTGGCAACAGCCCACAGGCTCCTGACTCTCTGAATTCACTCTGGGCTTTTTCAAACACAATGTGATTTTTTTTTTCCAAAAGAAATCACAGTGTGACTGTTTGTTCACTGGCAGAGGGAAGCGTGTAATTTTGCAGAAGTGCCCATTTGAGCTCAAATAATTTAATAGAGATAAAGTGGTCTGTGATTATCAGCACATTATGAAAGAGGGACAGATCGTTGGTCTAGCCTTCTCTCTTTGCAGGTGTATTTCTACTGGATTTGCCGGGAGCCCAGTGCTTTCGAGTGGTTTGCTGATCTCTTACTGTCTCTGGAAACACGTTTGAGTGAGCAAGGGAAAGCTCACTGTCTGAGTTATCATATATTTCTCACTGGATGGGATGAAAACCAGGTATTGACATGACTCTGAGAATGAGCAATATTATCTAACTTGCCTAATCATAGAGCCAAGAGAAAGAAAGAAAGCACTTCAATAGTGAGCTATATAGTTATCTGGTAGCATGAAAGAATTATTATATTTTTTCTGTTCGTAAGTAGGAGAGAATAAAACCAGATGAGAAAGAGCTATTCAAATTGTAACAATCAAGCACCTACAGATAACTTACTGGGAAACAGAAAAGATAGGAAAAGAGGCTGGCTAATGGAAGACAATCCCAAGTTTGGGAATCCAAGAAATGAATGTGATGTCACTAAAAGTTGTATTTGCCTTTTAGTGACATCAAGCAAATATTATTGACTAGCTGTTATGTCTGGTTGAGTTCCTAATAGGTTCCAATTCTATGCTTTATGTTGTTCAGCATTAGGCAGAAAGATTCCCAGGTGTTAACATTCAATGTTTTGTATTGTAAAGTATGTGAGCTTCTACAGAAAATAATTATGTCAAATACATGATATATCTAGATCCTTTTCTTAAAATTGTATGCATGTGCACTTATTTGCCTAAGATCAAAATGATCTTCTGGTGTGGCAGGTGTTCTGCAGAGTATTATATTAATGAAATATTAAGAGTTGATCAGAAATAATGTATAGCAAAATACTGCATGACAGTATTTCAGTGTTGATAATACTGAATGATAACTATTAAATTTTAAATCTTTTTTAACTCGTCAAATATGGAAGACAACAATGAAATGATTGCTAGATTATGAAACGTATGTTGTAATCAGCACTTCTGTAGCAGCTACTATTAATATTTACTTTAAGGAAAGCATGTTTGAGCTAAGGAGATTTGTATTAATCACTAAATTTACAAACGAATGCTCCTGCATGTCTGTGAGCTCTTTCCTGTGTTTATGTGTTGTGTCTCTCTCCCTCCCTCTCTCTCATCTCCATCACTTTTTCTCTGTCAACACACACATGCACACACAAAGACACACACGCACACACAAAGACACACACACACACATCCCACATTGGCCCAATAGAGCATCACTGTATTTGGTCTCTGCTTCTGCAAATGAATAAGAAGATTGGGCTTAAAATTCAGTAGCTAAATGAATTTTTAACTTCTTATTTGCAGTTATCCTTAAACATTTATTCCTCTGGGATAATTTGAAATATAGATTTCTTGGGAACTATACTTGAAACACCTTAATGAATTAAATAGTGTTAATTATGTTTTCCAAACAAACATTTTCCTTACTCAAGTGGGATCTTTGACTAATGATCCATTTGGTGAAGTACAAACCCAACCTTGTCTTTGGCTTTCCAGAACACTCTTGCTCTAAACGAGAGTGCCCTGGCGTCACATAGGCGTGTCTTCATTGGGTAGCTGTGAAGCGAAGGCTCAGTCTGACTTTGTGAAACACAGCTCTGTCGCCTCCCATCTCTGCCACTTCCATAAGCAAATACAATATACTTTTCCAAATACAAGTAAATTAAAATAGACATGTTCTTTAATTTTTGCCATGACATGTTGAAAATTCTTTAGACACTCAAATTTCAGGAAAAAAAATAATTGGTACATTCTGTCAGTAAGGAATCAAGAGACTGTTTTAGAAATAGCCAATTGTTAGATTGAATTCAACCTCAAAGTGGCAGAATGACAAGAACAGAAGGGACAGATGGGAAAGGTATTTTAAAGGGCAAATCGACAGCGTTTGGAAACTAATTGAACACCAGGCTGAGAAATACGTAACAAATATATTCCAAATGTTTGAACATCAGTGATCGGCAACTCAGCAATACCTCTAACAAAATTAGGAAAGGCCCTTTTATTCTTTTAAATGACACACAATATTTTTATTAAGGACTCACCCGCTGCGCCCCTCAGCAGTGTATTTCAGTCAATCTGCCTGTTCTGCTCCCCACACTGTCTCTGGTGAGACAGAGAGCTCTTTCCTCTCACCCCCCACACCTCTGGCCTGTACCCCAGTTCTTGTATGCAAAAATAAATCTTTTTTTTTAAAAAAGGAGGCAAAGACCGTATTCAACCTGACACACAACCCACTTGTTCTAGCCCACTCCCACCATATTCCACTGGAACTGGAGCCTCCAAACCCAGCTCATTCTCCTCTCAGGCCCACACTTGGATGCTTCCCCATCACTAATTCCCTCTTGCCCTCCCCCCTGACTAAAGCATGGAACCTGCCTTAGAGTCTAGTTCTCTGTGAGTCTACCCAGTTTTCTTAGCGGAAATTTCTTGGACATCACCAAAGTAATTGGTTTCCTTCTCCAGAGCTCTTTGTTTCTGCCTCTAGTGAAGAAGAATCTTGCTGTGATTCAGAGCATAATAGCTTCCCTCATGGGCTGCCCCTACTTCAGGAGAAGCGCCTCACAAAGCAGAGGTCTTCTCTCTTCTCTCTACCATTCTGTTTGTGCCTCACCGCCTGCCTGTAGGCCTCACTCAAGAGCCGCATGTAGAAGTATCTTGATGCACAAATTATTTGAGAATTGGAGTGATGATTTTAACTATGATGATCAATTTGAAATAATTCTACATAATATGTTTGGGAAGTTCGAGATGTAGGACTCCTCTCACGAAGGATGACAGAGCCTAGGAGAGAATTTGGATTCGTCTTTGTAGATTACGCTAATTTGGTCATGAAATATGGAAGCTCTTTGGAGACTCATGGTCCAAAAGAGGGAAGATTGCTGGGAATAAAGGATGGAAATGTAGTGACATTTTTAAGACAGGAATATATGATAAGAAAACAAAATCTAATGTTTTTTTCCTTTAATCAAAAGAAAAATCAGAGAAGTCAAAGAACTAGGATTTTAGTGCAACTAGAATCAAGAAGGAGCAATGTCTAGCCACTGGTGGAGAAACCAAGGAGAACTAGGTCTCAGTTGGTTGTTAGATTTGGCACTTGGTCAAAATTACCTTGCCTGTCTGTATTCTTCTTTGGCCCTCAGCTGCCAACAGTTTACAGTCAATTCTATGATTTAGCAAAGGCATTGTGGGGAGTGCAATGCCACGTCTCTGATCTGGAAGCTAATGCAACTCTGACCCGGAATTTCAGCTCTAATTACAGAGTCTGCCAGTTTCCAAAGCTCATTCCTCAAATACCACCTCAGATCTTACTCCTAAACTCTTGTCTCATACTTCTGCCTTGATAAACCTGCCTCATAAGAAGATCCTGCCTACCTCTTTCCTTGTCTAGAGTCTGATTCCCAAACTTGGTTACTTCAGTGGCCTTGCTTCATGAAATTAGACTTACCACAGGGATTTCCTGTGGCCTGGAGTTCTGATATTCCATTATCTTCAAGGTGCTTCCATTATTTTCTGCCCCACCTCCCCATTTCTGGATGCTTTGCTAGACTGATAAGTACAGTCAGGGAAGTCAGGACAGTAGCAAAATCCTGGAGGAAGAGTTATGTCTAGCAAGGGTCTTACCTAACTGGTCAAGAGCAAGAAGCAGCAGAAGATGTAAGTAAATGGAGCACCAAGAGTACAACATGTGAGCTCAAAGAATAGTAGAGGGGTCTAAGAGAGGAGCTCAGGGGACACTACATCCCAGGTAAGAAGGGGGCAGCCAGAATTCAGCAGGAGCTGATACAACTTATAGCAATGTAAAAAATCGTCATTAAATGGCATTTGTAGGCCCAGGCTCTGGTTTATGAACCTAGTATTTGTTTATTCTCCAGTTACCTGACTCCTGGATATAGTCACATAATTTGAAAGCAAATGGTAGGGCATGAGCTCCAGCCACACCCTTGCTATGCTTTGGCTGCCTGTCCTGTCTGCCAGGCTCTACAGTAGCCCCACCCAGACAGTACATTCAAATGATCTCTACTCTGTGACTTGATGGTAGGACCAGCTTCTTCCTGAGTGTATGTAGCCTATCAGCCTAATCTGGCAGTGCCCCTCTCACATCCCCAGGATTAATATTCAGTGAAAGGGGACAAAAGTCAAGATTATTTTTGAGAAGTTTGGCAGAAAAGAGAAATAGCTTAGTGCTTGTTTTCCCATAACCTTATTTACTATATTACACTCATTCTTTAAAAGAAAAATATTCATTCCAGCCTCATGTTCTTGTACATCTACCACGTGTAAAGCATTTTGTTTCGACAACGCCCAAGGCAGAATACAAAGAGAAATGAGATCAGATGCCTGTCCTAAAGTGTGCAATCAGTGAGGGCTGATGGTAATGAGGAGCAGTTCCAGCCCCGTAAAAAATTGTCTTGTGTATTAAATCTATAAATGAGCATAATTACTTCATCTTTTATTTAGTAGACAGCTCTTTTTTTTTTTCTTCCTGTCATCTGATACCACAATTTTTGCCTTAGGCTATTTACATAGCTTTACACTGGGATGAAAATACTGACGTGATTACGGGGTTAAAGCAGAAAACCTTCTTCGGAAGACCCAACTGGAATAAGGAGTTTCAGCAGATCGCCTGCAATCACCCTGGGTAAGGAACAGACATGGTCTTTTTCCTCTGCCTACTGGGAGCCTCCTGGGGAAATGCCAGTTGCTGATGAAATGGGAAGTTCTGGACCATGAGCTAGTTCACCTATAGTCGTGGGCATCTCGTTCATTGAGAGAGAAAACATGGACCTTAGCTAAGGCAGTCATAGGATATTTCAGGATACAAATATCCTGTAACTGGCTCAGAATAACAGACAATTATCAGTTAAGTTGAAAAATTTCACACTGAAACGCAATGAAATAAGCTGAGTTTCCCATCTTTTCAAGATGTCTTTGGTGAACAGAGATGACTTCTAATTACCCACATGGAAAGTTCATTTCTGTCCACTGTAAACTGTGGCATGTCTAGCAAAGCAGACAGGAAATGTTTGAGGCCCAGGCAAGGATGATGGGTGGCGATTAAAGAGCCAGTATCTGTAGTCCAAAGGTCTGGGTGTAGATCCTGGCTCTGCCATTACCGTGAACTTACCTGGTACAGATTTATTGTTGGCACTGACTGATTTTCTTCTGTAAGCTGCAAATAATAATGCTAACCTTCTTGACTTCTGTGAGTATCAAATGAGTAAATACATATAAAGTGCCCAAACCAGTATTTCAAATACAGTAAACGTTAGCTATTATCATCATCAACATTAGCTGTAGTAGTTGCTTACTACTGTTATGATTTTGTCATGATAAACTTCTCTGCAGAAGAGAAGAGCATTTGTTCTGGGACCTTAAGGCAAGAGTGAAGCCTATATTTTCAGTTCTAGAAGTTGCTGGCTATGTGACCTTGAACAGAGTAGCTTATTTATGCATTTTGGCCCATTATAAAATATGGATGATATTATACATTCACAGCATAGTTTTTATTGATATAAAAAAATACATAGTAGTTTACCAAACTTGGTCAAATACAAAGCCCTAATGCAAAATCATCATTGTTATTACATGACCTCTGAATCGGTCTTTGTTTTGAACCCCATCATCTACAACTCTTGAAAATCATCATGCCCTAATACTGTCTTCACTAACATAATAGCTTCCATGTTTGAGAAAGACCTGGAGGATTGTGGGATTTTGCCATGTAAACAGCTGGGAAAGAGCAGAAGGGCAGCACATGGCAAGGTCCTGAGGCAGCAGATACTGTTCGTGGCTTGAACTGAAGGCCAGAGTCATTGAAATAGAGAGAGTGTCAGGAGGAGGCACTTAGTAGAGGGACCTGTAGTGGATATTACAGGTTCCTGAATTTCATTCTGAGGGGAAACTACTTAATGGTTGAGTAGAGGAGTGATGTGACCCATCCTGTGTTTAATGGGATCATCTTGCGGCTATGAGAGTGTAGCTCGTAAGAGGCAGAAGTCCAGAGGCTGGTAAGGAAGTACACAGTGGTGGAATTAGCAGGGGCAGAAAGTGAATATGGTGACAAGCAGTTGCACTTGGGACCTCCTGTGGAAAGAGAGCTGATGTGAAGGTCTTACTGATGGATTGGACGGGAAGCCTATACCAAGCTTGAAAGGAGCTACCACTTACTAACATTGGGATACCTTAAGAGGAACAGGGTAGCAGAAGTGGGGTAATAAGAGTTGTGATTTTTTTTTTTACATTTTCAGTGTAAGATGCCCATTATGTCCAAGTGGAAAAGTTGAGTAGGCAGGTGAATGCCTTAGGGACTCGGGGGAGAAGTTGAAGTTACACACTTGGCAGGTGACAGCATATAAACTGTGTTTGGAGCCACAACAATGGGTGATATAGACAAAGAATCAAATGTAGATCAACAGGAGTTCTGGAAACCATGATATTTGGAGGGTAGGGAAATAGTCTCTTCTTTCAGGTTATAGAGTTTAACACATCCCACTTTTAGCTATTGTATTAACCTTGTCGTTTAGGTTTTCTATCCCCTGACCCTTTGTTTTCTGTCCATTTTTTCAGTATTGAACCACTAAGAGCAAATTAAAACTAAGAGGGTATTTTTGATTAATTCCCTAATTTCTGTGATTTCCCTGTGTTCTTGTCATCTCTCTTCTCAGTTCAGGTATTGTCAGTTTGTCTTCCTTCATGGAGGCTTTTGCTTCATTAAACTTTTTGTAGTTATTTAATATTTTTTCTGCCTTATGGAATATTTTTCTGGTGAATATTCTTCTTACCAGTTTTGGTACTTATTCTACTATCTTCTTGTATTTCTCACTGACGTGAGCTAGAACCTGTTCTTAAATTTTGTCTGTTCTCTTCAAATGTGGCTTCTTCAAACCCATGCCAGCTTCTGGGAATCTCAGAATCTGATTGTCCTGTGATTCCCTCTTCAACATCCTGTCCTGCTTCTGGAACCCCAGACTTCTCTAAATTCATGAAATCACTGTTTTCACATCCCACCCTTCAGGTGCTTGTGCAGAGGCAAAGAATGAGTGGTTCATTTTCCCTGTGGTCTCATAATAAAGATTATCAGTAGAAAACAGACCGAATGTTACAAACTCCTATGTTACAGCTGCAACCGGGTTTTTTAATCACAATTTTCTCTTTTCGGGAAAAAAAAATCTATTCTTCTGATAAATGTTGAACACTCCATTTCCAGTTATCATGGAGTGAATGTTGCCACTCAGCAGGCTCTGACACAAGCGTGCATTTTGGGACAGAAAACTCTATAATGACATCTCACATCACATGTGTGTGTTTTTGTTAACATGCAGGTTTGGCAGCCTAGTGGGGCAACCCTTTCAATACAGACCATTGCATTAGCTCCTTTCCCTCAGAAAGGTGTGAACTAGAAACACAGCATGAAGAACTTGAGAGTGGAACCGAGTTTGGACAAACTCAATCCCCAAAATTGTGTTGTGTAGCGCTGGCATGGTAGTCTGTCTGGTTTTGCAGGGAATGAAGATCAGAGAATAGTTTGAAGGAGGGAACTTGAAAACCTGTCACTTTTCTCCTTGCCCTGTGAGGAGGGGGTAATTCCTCTTCAGATGCCATCATCTGGTTGAATTTTTCAGCAGAGTAGCTGTGTAACAATCTCTTCTGAAGGATGATTTCATCTCTTGCAGAATAGAAAAGACCCCAAGATTTGGATGTCACTGACCCAATCCTCTCTTTTCTAGCCTAAAATTTCATAAATCCCATATTTGTAATAGCCTTATACTCTAGAACTCTGTGACTTGTAACTTAGCTCCAACGATCAGTGTAATTAATATCAGACACATGTAGGCAAAGATCGATTATTATTTCATCCTTGGTATGCCAGATCCCTGAGAAAAAACAAGTCACCCATAAAGAACTTAGCACCACCCTTCCAAAAGATTTTTAAATGACCTCCTTAAAATAATCTTATTTTCTGCTGTGTAAAAAAAAAAAAGAAGAAAGATTTATGTTTAATGAAGCTTTTAATGAAGAAATCTCGGAAAGAGAATGCCAATAAAATCTAATTTTTAAACAAGAAAATCTAATATTGAGAAGTATTTCAATATCCTGGCCTTTGTCCAGATATAAATGAAACACACAATCCAATTATTGCTTTGCACAAAGGACAAAGTAACATTAATTTTCCTCAAGATGGTTATTAAGGAGATAAACAGTATGTTTTCCCCTTATTATGTCAAGGATATGTTTGTTCCCAGGCTCACTTGGCTACTCTTCTAAGACAGGTCTGGCTTGTCATTAGCTCATATCTTTTGGCAAAGATGAGTCAGAAAGAATTGGTGGATTTGTCCATGGCCTCAGAAAAGCTTCTTTGTTCTTGAGGGCCTTTGAAGTAGGCTCTCAACCATTTCTATTCATCAGCGCGAAGCCAAGGATTCTTAGGGCTTACTCTTTTAAAAACATTTACCTGTTCACTCAAAGCTGGAGTTTGCTCTTGTTCTAAGAAGGAGTTAAATCAAAAGAATAAAGGGAAAGAAGGGCAAAAACATTTTTTATAGAACATGAAAAACAGCACCAAAAATAAAGCTCGAAGGGAAGCAGATCAAAGAGAATAGTGCAAGCTCTGAAGGAACCAGAAAATTGCAGAAATAACAGTAATAGAGAAACAAATTGATGGGCATCGAAATGAATACAAATAAGGAAAGGGGGAGAAAAAAATTAAAAAGCAATCAAAGGCTGAAAGTAGAAAGTGGGAAAGTGTGTCCTATTGTTTTTATTTGCAATTAATTTTCATAAGTATATCAGCTGTATTGCAAAAACACAAGGATAGTTTTAAAAGAAGATCAACAAATACCAAGTGGATATATAAAAAGTAAGTCTTTTATTGCTAACCCACGTGCGTGGCAACTGTTGTATATTGCTTAACTTAGACAAGCACAGAAAGTGCTCTAAACATAAAAACAATGGAAACTGTTCTCCTAATTAAAGTACAGTAGGTTAATTAAATGCATGCCTTGCGATCTGTCTCGCTAATCTATAGAATTGTTCACGTATACAAAAATGGAAGCGGCATTGCGTGTTTTCGTGAATGTTCTCAATATGTTCCCAAGCTTCAGACAAATGTTCAGAACCTCCGTGCATCGTTTCCCAAAAGGTAGACAGAATGAAAATAAATTTATCTTTGTCACATCTTAGCTACTTTTTTGATAAACACACATTGTGCATATCCTCAACCTTCTGGATTTATGGATCCGTTGTTTTGAATTAATTGAATAAAATGACTTTCCATAGAACTTCCATCTTTGATCTTGCACTTCACTAACATTTAGAGTTTGCTACTTCTGACTTATCTACTAACAACTTCTCTGTGCCTGGTAGGCATAAAACTATGTAATTAATTACCATAAAAAGCTTTGAAGATGTAGCCATTTTTTCATAACTTCAGTAGAAGTGTTTCTTTGGTCTTGCAGGGGGAAATGAAGATGAGCAGAGTACTACCTTTTGTTGGGTCAGTGCAACCCAACCTGATCATAAAGGCAGATGTCAACTTACCATGTGACTCGGAGTGTCTAGTCCATTTCACAGGGCTGTATTTGACACAGCCTATTGTTTTCAGAAATGCAAAAATACCTGTGTGTTAAATTGAGCCAATGTGTCCATCTGGAGCCACGTTTGCTTGTGTGCACACCCTCCAGTTCCCGTTTGTGCGTGCATATGGGCAGAGTGTTTTCAAATGATATCTTTCAAAATTAACACTCTGCTTATAGCATCCGGGCCTCCTACCTAACAGGATATCCTCAATGTTCATTTTATGACTAACATGTTTAGAATTCTCAAATAGACTTAAATGTAAGTCCCACATATGATAAATTATAGCTGCAAGAGAAAAATAAAGCCACCATAAACTTATCACTGGGATATTGTCAGCGTAGTTACTTAGAGCTTTCCTACCTGAGGACAGTCAGCTCTCCAGTTTTAATCAAAAGAAGATTCCATGGAAATTACTTGCATGAGGGGACTAGGAATGTGGGTGAGCACAAGGTGGTTCATCATTACTCTGCAGTTTCTTAGATGATGGGACATCCTCCAAGATATGGCAAAAAATACTGGGATTTTTCCATATGAACATACATATATTTTAGTGCTTTATCAGCAAGGAGGAAGGAGAGAATTGGCAGAAAAATGGCTCTCCCTTTTCTGGGAACCCACTCTACAGTCTACTACTTTTATTTCCTTCCCTTATTTGACCCTAATGTCCTCATAGGCAGCAGCTAGTCTATGCTTCTCAGCCAAGCAGGTGGCCAGCATCAGCAAGTGTAGGAATAGTGACATGGACATGGAAGCTGGGACAAGGGCCTGAACTCCTGTCAAAGAAGATGGAGTTGGTGGGAAAGGAGCAGGGTGAGTGTCACAGCAACGAGCAAGGGACGGGGCATTGTAGTCCTTAATGAATAGCTGAGTTATTAAGACGCAGAGAGAAGTACCGGGGCAGGCTGCCACAAATCCATTGGGAGATGGGGTTAAAAATGGCCAACGCAACTATCTGTGGTTATGAAAAAGAAGGTGTTGTGCAGAATATAATTATGCCATGAATCATTGGGAGGCATTTCTAATGAAAAACATTCTCTAGGAGAGATTAACCAAAAGTGGTGTCCATTGTCTGATACCCAGTTAGTAGATTCTCATTCTCTTCCTTCTAAGCCCCCATAAATCCACAGGAAGCTTCTGTTTATCGATTTTATTTGCTGAATGCACTCAGGGTATAAAGTAATTTGATTTTTTTTAATGGGGTTTAGGGTCTGCCCCTACAGGGTTATAACTTACCAAGCATAAAAGTCAACACATAAAAACAAACATACAATTTAAAGAGAAGAGGGCAAGAGGCAGGAGAAGCTGGGAGTCCAGCAAGAGGGTGGGAGTACTCCAGGCCCAAGCAAGCTCTCATCTCGCTATGCACAGAGACCTCCTGGGGAGCGACATTTGGATGCCTTTCATTCAAGGCTTCCCTGACCTGTTTTGCAAAATGCATCAACCCCACAGAGAAGAACCAGAAGTTATTTAGCAAAGAAGAGGGAGGAAAGGAGAATTTTCTTTATCACTTAGCGGAGCGGAGAGTAATGCTGTGAAGGTTCGGAGCGGAGAGTAATGCTGTGAAGGTTAGCCATCTTTGTGGTCTGTGTAAAATTCGTCCTTTTCTCATCAAAGTCAGCAGCTCAGACGATCAATGCCGCTGATGTTGTCCCTGAGCCAAGTCCTCACGCGGGTGCAGCTCAGCAGCCTGCAGGCTGTAAACTGGAGAATGATGCCTCGTGTTTTTATACGTCTTTTACAGGGAATCTTTTTTTTTTTTTTAATTCTAAGCAATTGTGGGTAATTAAACTTTATAGAAGAATTTTTTTTCTTTACCAACCCCATTAGGGTTCTGTTACCCTTATCCATGGCCTCATAAAAGGGAAAAAAATGCTGCTGCATCTGCGCCTCCATTGCCTTGTGCAGTCTCTGCTCCGTGACTCACAATCTGCTTTTAGAACAAGCAATCTCCAGGCTTGAAATCAAATGCCGAGAGGGCTGAGCAAGGCAAGTGAAGAAAGCCGTGCCTGGGGACAAGGGACAGCACTGGGAGCTGGAGCGATCCGGCCCCTCTGCCTTAGCAGAAAGTAGAGAATGGATGATCTTTGTGAGACCTTTTGGCGACTGCATTAGCAGGACAGTGACATGAATACAGAAAAGCATGTACTGAGCTGCACGGTGCAATAGCTTTGGCTTCAAAAGATGCCGGGTAGTGCGACCTGCTGGGGACGCCAGAGGTGCACCTGGCAGCTAGCAATCAGAATCCTTTGAAATGGAGTCTTCAAGGTCAGCATCGAAGAGCCTCCTTGGGTCTGCAAGCAGTCACGGTGGCTGCAGACGAAAGGGCATCTCAGCCTGTTGGGAAGGGGCCAGTGGGCCATCTCTTTGTGATGCCTACACTAATAGAGAAATATGACCGCCCACAACAGCGCCTTTGAACCTAAATGCAAGGTACCTCTGGGCATCAGACGCCACGCCACGCTGTGATGCCTCTCTGGGGAGGGTTTTGTCTGCCCCATTCAAAATGTTTCAGTCCAGGACTCAAAAAAACAAGAGCTAGAGTGCTGATCCAGGAAATCTGCCATCATTGCTGGGTTAACAGCCACCTGGCATTTTCTCTTTGGCTTCATGGGGCAGGTTGGCATCCTGAGGGTCCTGACAGAGCGAGTCTCGTACCCACATGGAGGGGACGGTGGGCTGCGGTATCTCACCCAGCTCACGCAAAGGTTCTGGGAGCGAGGTGCTTGCTATAAGTCTCCCCATTTTACAGGTAAAGAAATGGGGCTTTTGAGGAGGTAATTAACATGCCCAAAGTTACCCAGCAACGAAGTAGTGGAACCAACCACTCTCTTCACCATCTTTTTCATAAGTGCCTTAAAATTGCTTCATTCAGTCATAAACTCATTTTTCAGTGGGAACTATTTTCTAAAAAAGCACTTTCTTGAATTTAGCCATGGGAATGATATTGTTAAAAATACTACTTATACATTTTAAACATATTGTCATTTACAAATGATTCCACTCAGTAAGTTGCTTTGAAGCTAGAGTTTGAAATGTAATTGAACCATCAATTTCTACCATGATATTATGGGCCTGGAACACATCATTAAAATGTGGGTACAATCATTAAATGTGGGTACACGACAGAGAACCGTGTTAACATATCAGCTAATAAGAGCGAGGCGATACAAGCACTTCCCAACAGAAACCAGGTGTAAAGTCCAGTGGTTTAGTGGGCTCGCCCTCGAGTCCAGGAATTTCTCTAAGACAATGGTTGACATAACCACACTCTGCCGTGTTACCTGGGGTCTCGCTAAAAATGCTTACCTGGATTTTAAGTCTGGAAACCTATGTTTTAACAATCCGCCTAGATGACTTTATGTGCAGAAACTATGAGAAATTTTGATCTAGAGTAACTGATTCAGCTTGTGCTGGAGGTTGGAAAAATGCTACAGGAACCAATTCCATACAAAGTGAGGGGAAACATGGTCTCTGTACACCCTCTAGAGACTGGCTCCTCCTAACTTCCAGAGACGACCTGAATCTTTACCCCCAGACATTGTTTCTGAGTCAGCAGAGCCAGCAGCCACATGTACAAGGGATCTGAGTGGCCCTGGGACAGTCACTATGTACAAAACTCCCCCAACACAGTCTCCTGAAATGTCACATTGTAGATGAAACTTTTGGGTGACTTCATTCTCAGCAATAGCTTTTTCCTTTCCAACTCTTTTCCTTGACCATCTTTGAAAATCCCAACAAGAGAGATAAACTAAGCTGTTATTATTTAGTATGAATTTCATTGTCAGCACAGAGACAGAGTTGAATAGAATACTAGTAACCACTGACACTCTGAAAAACTTTTTGAATGAAATATCTCATTTCACTTTCAAATAAGAATTTTCCTTTCAAAGATTATATAGTCCTGATCTTTGTTTTTCACATGTGGAGACTGAGAGCCAACGTCTTGACCAAGACTCACAGGTAGTAATCAGCAATCATTTGTTCATTCAACAAACATGTACTGTCTGTGGGCGGTGGGTAATATCCAGGGCGTCAGTATTACAATGACAATCCTCCCATTTTATGATAAGGAAAAGGGGGGTACCCCGTCCAAGTTCCTGCTCACAGGGACTCTACATCTGATCACCAACCCAAGAGGACACTAATCAAGGTGACCTGACAAAAAATCCGAGCAAGATCACCTCAACATCAAAACCCCCTCTCCAGTTAGCAAGGCCCCCTCCAGCCTCTGCTTTCTCAGGTCTCCCTAGCTGTGTGACTCAGGTGTGTAAGGTCCTGGGAACCTGTGAGAGGGTGTGGAGCTCAAAGCAGGAAAAGAAACTCTAAGGAAAATGGAAGTGGGTAGGGAAAGATAAACAAAACAAGTCCAAACCACAAACATGTCGCTGATTGTGTCATCTGTCCTGGCCGGCTTTGCTTCGTCTAACACGTATCTTCCCTTCTCCCTCTCCTGCAGCAGCAACATTGGTGTGTTCTTCTGTGGGCCCAAAACTCTCTCAAAGACGCTTCAAAGCATGTGCCGCCTATATTCATCCGCTGACCCCAGGGGCGTCCATTTTTACTACAACAGAGAAAGCTTCTAGACTTAGGGATAAAATTCACAAATTGTGTAAGTGTCTACCATCGTAGAGGTCAGAAGTTGGGAAACTTTTCCCGTAAGGGTCAAATAGTAATTATTTTAGACTCTGTGAGCCTTATGGTCTCAGTCACAACTGATCAATTCTGTCATTGCAGTGCACTAAAGTCACCACCAAAAATACACCAAATGAATGGGTTCCAATAAATGTTCCCATAAAACTTTATTAAGGATACTGAAATACAATTTCATATAATTTTCTCATGTAATAACATATTCTTTTTCTTTTTTTTTCAGTGATTTAAAATTGCAAATCCTTCTTAATTTAAGGGGTGGGGGAAGAGCCCAATGGACTGTAGTAAAGGATTAATGGGGCATTGATAGTGGGTGTGGTATGATAACATATATTTGTAACATATACATTGTGGTAGGTCAACATCTCAATAAACATAATTTCAAATAAAATAAATTTTTAAAAAGTAAATCTTAGTTCATAGGTTATCCAAAACAGTGGGCCAACAGGTAGTTTGTGGAACCAGGATAAAGGTTATTATTTTGTTGTGTTTTTTTTTTTTTTAATTGAGGCAACATTGGTTTACAACACTGGGTCTGATTCAGAGGCATAGGGTCACACCTCTGCAGGTGTATAAAATGCTGTCACACCACAGCCACCACCAGAGCTCCATTTATATATTCTATCCTTTTCCTCTCCTTCTTGGCAACCTCAATTCTGCAGTCAGATTTCTAGGGGGCACCAAACTTGTTTTCTTGCTTAACTTTCCGCTCAACATGGAGACTGGTCTGGCTGCTGGCTCCAGTCTCCTTTAGAAGTCATTTCAAATTTCTGTCACCTTGATAACAGAGATATTTGCCTGTATCCAAACCTGATCTTTTCTGCTTAACCTAAAGCTCTTTTGTGCTTTTTTTTCATCCTCTATATACCTAAGAAATCAGCAATAGGAGTTATCTTTCACAAAAATCCTTTATATACTTTGAAATGATCTAAAAATCATCCCTTACCTGTCCCTTTTCTAGTCCAAACAATACTGGATTCTTAACCCTTCAGCCTAGGATATTTATTCTAGCCCTTCAATCATTTTTATTGCTCTTCTTCAAATCCATTTCCATTTCCTCACATCCTTTCAAAATGTGCTGACTAAAATGAGACATAATATTCCAGTAGGAGAAAATCTACTACTCTGTAGAAGAGTCAAGTTTTGGTCCTTGTATGCCATGTTTTTCAACATAACTGAATTCTGTTTGCCATCTTTCTTTCTTTCTTTGTGTCTTTTTTCTTTCTTTTTTCTTCCCATCCTTCTTTCCTTCCTTCCTTTATACCTCCTCTGTCCTTCCTTCCATAGTTCTTTTCCCGCTCTTTTATTTCATTTCATTTTTATTTTGATATATTTATTTATTTTTTTTGTGGGCCCCTCGCCAGCGGCTGGGGAACGAACCGGCGCTGCAGAGGCTGCGGGCAGCTTCGCAACCCAGCGCTCAACCGCTGCCCCACCAGGGGAGGCCCTTTTCCCGCTCTTTTAACACTGGTTATTGCTTTCACATATTAATCTATGATCATCTCAACACTCATACACCACCTCAACTTTATTCCACAAACACATTGGGAATTTATATATATATTTTTATATAAATATATATAAATTATAAATATGAATTATATTTATAAATTATATAAAGATATATTTTAAATATATATAAATTATATATAAATTTATATATTTATACACTCCTATAGAGCCAGTCATCCCCCGCCCCCATGCAGCCATCCTGCCCTAACAATGTTCCAAAAGTATTCATCATATCTTACAGTTTTCTCTTCTAGTATTGATCAATATGTTAAAATTTTTCCAGTATTTCAAGAGTGTTTGAAGGTTGGCACCAGATAGATACTAATATTGGTATTTAACTTAGTAATAGCTACATATTTAGTAATAGCACCTCTCTTTTGTTCAGGTTTCCAATCCTCTTACTGATCAGAAGAACTCCACCATGAATTCTTGCAACCACCTGTTAAAATGAAAGCCCAGTTGGGAACAGGTTAATGATAACTTGCCATTGAGAAGGGCACACCACACCTTACTTTCTTAGCTTATAAATAAGATGCCATATACAATAGAAAAAAACATTTATTGAAACTAAAATAGATTATGTTTTTCAAATGCCTAACTTCGTAGATTGTTGTTCTGCAAAAAAAGAGAATTAAATTGGCCTGACGTGATTTGTTCTTACAATGTCAGGCAGCCACTTAAGTTCTTTCAAGTATTTTTAAATTATAAATTGATCATTTCTTTTGCTTTATTTTCAGATATTGGTATTGATATTATGACTTCCATGGTATATTTTTAAATGTATGCTAGGAAAAAAATGACAATATTCTCTTCTCAGAGACTATTGCTACAAACCCTGCATTATAATTTCCTTAGGTTTTGCCTTATAGGATCATTCAAATGCCACTTCTATTAATACACTCAGTTCTTCTGTGTACTTTTTTCCACATTTAAGTTCAACTCAACATTTACAATAAGAACTTTCTGTAGTCAAATGCATGCATCTAATATTTACATAAGCAGGAAAGTTATATGTATAAAAATATTTTTTCTTGATCATATTCAATTATTTTTCTCTGTTTATCTGAAAATAAAGTACATGCTTTAGTTGCATAATTTTGTCTAATTAATTAGATAATACTTGTTCTTAAAAACAGATTTCTATCTCTGTATCTTCCTTTTTTTTTTTTTTTGGTAAACCTAAAACTTCCCTAAAAAATTAAGTTCTTCCAAACAAAATCACATTTTGCTGTTTATATCTGCTATTTGTGTTTCTGATTTTTTTATTTTGACCTTAATGTCTCTCTCCCACATCCATAGAGTCTGACCTATCCATATAGAAAAAATATAAAAATACAAAAATCAGTAGATGCAGCAGTAGCCAAGTAGAAAATGTGGATTTTTTAAAATAAAATTGCCTAGTCAAAATAAAACCATAAATGTAGCAAAACCATAGCTTTATGTAATAATTCTGCAAGACTATTTGATAATTGAGCAAACATAGAGGCATTTTAAAATAGGTAGACTAGGTAAATGTTGTAAAATGTACATTTTTTTAAAAGATTTATTTATACAAGAATTGGGGCACAGGCCAGAGGCATGGGAGGCTGAGAGGATTCACCAGAGACAGAGCAGGGAGCAGAACAGGCAGACTGACTGAAAATACTGCTGAGGGGAGCAGCGGGCGAGACAGGAGAGGTCTGCTTCACCATGTGGGAATCTCCCTGGCCAGCCGGAGATCGAACCGCACTGCGGAGGCTGCGGACAGCTTCCCAGCACTGCGCTCAACCCGCTGTGCCACCAGGGAGGCCCCTAAAATATATTTTTTTAAATAGGAATATTAGTATAATAAAGATACCAATTTGTTCCAAATTAAATAAGTTAAATGAATCTCAAATCTTAAATTTTCCTCAAGATTTTTCTAAAGGGTAGCTATTTAAAAGTTCATCTTAAAAAACAAAAGTTCATCTAAGGAGAATATATGAGAAAGAGAAGCAAATCATCTGAAATATAAAGTAAACAAAGGAAAGGAAGAAGAGAGGACAGGAGAGAAAAGGCGGAGGAGAAAAGAGGGAGAGAGAGGAAGGAAACAGTCAACGTTCAGAAGCATCATTGTGAGAGCAAAGATATCAAAGGAACCAGAGAGAAAAGTCAAATTACCTACAACTGAGCAATAAATCTGGCAGCTGCTGTCCCAGAACATCATGATATGGTGGAGGACTGTCTTCAAAGTGCCGTAGAGACACAACCATCACATGAGAATCTGTGATCAAGTTATTATCAAAAGTGAAGGCAAAATACAGTTTTATTTTCAAGAAAACTTCCTCACTGAAATTACAAAGGGGTATATTAAAGGAAGGAGAAAATCAATTAATTCCTCCAAGAAGCAGTGATGAAGCCAGAAATTGAAAAACATTTTGTCCACATTTCTAAGCATTGACTATAAAAGAAAATGATGATTTCTGAAGGGATGTGTTTTAAAGTAAAACTAAGATACTGGACAACAAATATGAAATATGGGAGGTCGATGCTGGAATGATGGCCTTCCAAGGATCATCTATTGTTTGAAGATTAAAACAAATATTGAGAAATGTAGCTTGTGTTAAGTTCTATAAATAAAAGAGTTAACCCTAAATAGATTCTTCATCACGCTTCCTTTTAAAATAACTTCTCTGTTCTGAGTTTTTATTGAGCATCAACTATAATTTGTTGGATTAAGGACATGTGTCTTTTATTTCCTGATTTAATTTATCTTTGAGGATGTCAGTTTCTTGCTTTTTAACTCAACTGACAGTTGACTGGATATAGCTTTCTTGGGTCATGGATTTGTAGTTATTATTGCCGTATTTCTGTCATTAAATACTGTGATGGTGAAGTATAAGGCCAATTTCATTTTTTTCCCTTTGTAAATAAATTGACTTTTCCTGCCTGCACTCCTAAATAATAATTCTTTATCTTTGAAGCTCATACTTTTTGGTATTGATTATTTCATAGCAATCTTTCCTATATTAGTATGTTTTAGAACATTTTTTTTCTTCTTTGCAGAAAAAATTCCTTGTAATTAGGTCTTCATACAGACTTCTATTCCTTTCTATTGTCTCCCTGTTTCAGAGACATTAATTATGTTATATGGGATCATTTTTTTTCCTGTTTCCATTCTATACATTTTTCTAATTACTTTAATCTTATTGTATCTTCAATATACATGTGAATCTCCTGTTTTATTACTAGTCCACCGTATCTTTCTGAAAGTCCTAGAGCAGAATATGTTTTAGAATTCAAAATTATTTCACATTTCAGAAAGTAACAAATGTTTATTCCATATATACACAACACTCTAAAGGAGTCAGGGACAGTACCCAATACCTCTTTTGAGTTCTGGGTACTCTTATGTCTTTTCAATAAAAAGTATATACATGAATATTCAAATTTAGTGGAATAAGCGAAG